AGCTATTTCCAGTACATGATTGTCCGACCCATGCAAATGCTAAACACACTGTTACAATTTTACAGTAGAACTTCCTGTTTTCACCAGTATTTTAGCAAAGATGACAAGGAAATTGTATGCCAACCTACCACATAGGCTTTTATTTGTATTCAATAGTGTTTGTTTGTAGTAGCATTCTTAAACCCCTTAAGGACCAAATTTCTGGAATAAAAGCCAATCATGACATGTCACACGTCATGTGTCCTTAAGGGTTTAAGCAATTTCACTCTACTGGGTACTTCTGATGAATAACATACAAATCTTCCAAGTACAAGCAGATTATAGATCTTGGTGAAATCTACATGTGAATGTAAAGATACACCTGCAGATGCATTGTGTTTTGCTTTCATTATTCCCTGTAAGTTTGTGAGCGTTTAAGAACAGTAACATGACAATAATCCTCCTACTGAGATTTGGAAAAGCATTGCATGGAACTGTTTTTAATTTATGAAGATGGGCTGTAGTATATCTTTAATGACACACTCTAAGCACCAGAACCACTATAATTTGTAGTGGCTCTAGGGCAAAGAGACTACCCCTGCAGGCTTAGTAGTGTAAGCACTGCCTTTTCTGAGAAAAGGAAATGTTGACGTTGTTTGTTTGCCCTGTGTCACTGTATATTGTCTCTGTACTAAGGAAGTTCTCCTTTCACATAGAGCATGCTTACTTCCCCCTATACATGATCTGTTTTTGTGTTTTTATATTGTAGGTATAAATGTCTACCCTGGACTTGCAGTATTTTTCCAGAACGCATTAATATTCTTTAGGTAAGACAAATCCTTGGCTAATGAGAGATTGGTGCCAAAAACTTTTCATTCACTCTAAGCACCAGAGCAACTTTACGTCATTCCAAAAATTATTAGTTCAGGGACGAACACTGCACTCTGCCTTCCACCTACAGCGTTTTGCACAATGGGTTTCTTTTACCCATTAAGGTTGGAGGCAATTGACAAACTTTGGAACTAAAACAAAACCTAGAATTTGTGCAGTGTGTTTCTTTCACCATAATTTAATTTCTCTTTAAGTGCCCCATACATAATATATATTGATTTATATATATATGGACAGATGTAGTTTTTTTTTGTTTTTTATTATCCTATATGTATATCTAACACAGTGGTCATCCGCTGTGTTTTAAATGGATTGAAAATGCTTTATTCACTGCATACAGCTCATAGGTTAGTCAGGTGACACTAAATATGGAAAACATTTCAGAGCGTCATTAGTATGTACTAGCTCCTCAGTAAGAGCATTTCCTGCTCTCCCTTGGCTATAAGCGCCTACTCCTTCACTCAACCATGTCAGCGGTAATCCATGCTTCATGCTGGCATTGCAAGAATTGACCAATCCCAACCTCCCTTTCACAGGCTTCTATGATCTTAGCACCTTTCAGTTGGTGTAGCAGTTTCTTTTGTAATATGGTTTTCAGTAGATTTCCTTAAAAACATATTTTGTTTTGTCTAGACACGAAATACATATTCTTTTTCGTACTCCAGCTTGCTTGACTTGAAAGTAATACTTTTTTGTTCCTTTTTTAATTTTTTTTTTCTCTACAGCACCTTGATCTACAAATTTGGAAGAACAGAAGAGCTATGGTCGTAGGAATATGGAATCCAAAACCTTGCTTTCTTGTTCCTCATTCAAACTGCTGCACCGTCCCTCCCATGTTAATACACGTTGCCATCCAGCCGGTTTTAGATTTTTCTTGTATTTTGTTAGCCTCATCACTGTGTTAAGAGATGAAGAGGGGGCTCTTTAAGCTGTATATTTATAGAAAATTAAATCTATTTTGACCATTTCGGACAAAACCTGGGAAATATTTGTCAGTAGGGATACCTAACTGTCAGTCCATTTTTTTGCTATCTTAAGACATTAACGTTAAATGTAGATAATATCTAGGAAGGCCACAATCCTACGAACTGTATTATGAGTGATCGTGGGCTATTTCTCTGAAGGTTAAAGGTTTAGCTGTTTTTGTTTTTTTTTCCCATTTTATGCCGGGGTCCTAAAAGTGTGAACACTGTATTCGTCTGAAACTTATCCTTGTAGAGTTCTGTTTCCTCAAAGTTCTGGCTTTTTTTTTTTTTTCTTATCCATATCTTCTTGTTTCTGAAGATTTCTGCTATAGTGATTTCATAAATTATGTGTAGTTCCATACATAACTGCAGGTTTCTCTGATGCTGCGTCAGCTCAAAGGGAAACCGCTTACAAATATATGCTGTTGAAAAGTTAGCCATATCTACTCTAGGACCTCCATCTTGTTCAGACACATGGCCACTGTGCTGTCTGAGAATGCATTTTAAATCCATATTCGAAAATGCATCTCTACCCCTCTCTTAGGGTTTCTTTAAAAGCTCAGGGAAGTTGTTTAACATCCTGGTTTTAAAATTCAGCTTCCATTTTTCTCTAATAACCATTTGCTGCAGAACATTAGGTGATCAGAAGTCCAACGACATTTGTTGGAGTTCATTTATAAGATGTTCAATGTGTAAGTAGTATGCCATTTGTGGTGAATGGGAACAAGTATACAGTTTTAGAGAACTAGGATTGCTAATCATAAAGGAGAAGTGGTCGTTGCACACGATAATTGCCAACACAACAACTGCTGTTAGCTGTGATTTTCTTTTTTGTTTAAATATCCTTCTTTTTATTTTTATTTTCATAAGATGCAAAGTTGACCTGGCATAACCGGTCATTCATTGCAAATGTCACATGATTCTGTGTTGGAACATATATACAGTTGCAAGAAAAAGTATGTGAACCCTTTGGAATGATTTGGATTTCTGCACAAATTGGTAATAAAATGTGATCTGATCATCATCTAAGTCACAACAATAGACAATCACAGCCTGCTTAAACTAATAACACACAAAGAATGAAATGCTGCCATGTTTTTATTGAACACACCATTCTTTATTGAACACACCATTCTTCTTCACCTCATTGAGCAGCCTGCGCTGTGCCCTTGCAGTCATCTTTACAGGACGGCCACTCCTAAGGAGAGTAGCAGCAGTGCTGAACTTTCTCCATTTATAGACAATTTGTCTTACCGTGGACTGATGAACAGCAAGGCTTTTGGGGATACTTTTATAACCCTTTTCAGCTTTATGCAAGTCAACATTTCTTAATCGTAGGTCTTCTGAGAGCTCTTTTGTGCAAGGCATCATTCACATCAGGCAATGCTTCTTATGAAAAGCAAACCCAGAACTGGTGTGTGTGTGTTTTTATAGGGCAGCTGTAACCAACACCTCCAATCTCATCTCATTTATTGGACTCCAGTTGGCTGACATCTCACTCCAATTAGCTCTTGGAGATGTCATTAGACTAGGGGTTCACATACTTTTTCCACCTGCACTGTGAATGTTTACATGGTGTGTTCAATAAAAACATGGCAACATTTCATTCTTTGTGTGTTATTAGTTTAAGCAGACTGTGATTGTCTATTGTTGTGACTTTGATGATCAGATCACATTTTATGAACAATTTGTGCAGAAATCCATATCATTCCAAAGGGTCCACATACTTTTTCTTGCAACTGTAATACCTTATATGGAAAGAAGGGGGGTGGTCTCCTCATAGGTCATCATATGAAGATGGCAGCCCTCATTGTCCAGTAGTGCAGCAGTGGTGAGTGTGTATACACACATTGCATGCCATTGACCAGATAATCATTTGTTTTCACTGGTGTCAATATGATTGTGCTCTTTCTTATGAAGACTATTTTCTAACTATTAAATCTAGTATTTATTTCAGAAGCTGATCCCATTTATTTTTATATCAGAGTAGAATGAAAAGAACCTGTTTTAACAAACTATTCAGACAGTAATGTCCTTAAAGTGTCAGTAAAGTCTATTTTCTTTTCCTTCTTGAATAAATGAACTTGTCGTTTTATGCATATATATTTTATGAGTGGTCTTGCTCCTATAATTTAGCAGATCAACTTGCTTTTATTTCTTGTATCACGGAGTGCTGGAGACATTGCTGCCCCAAGAGAAAATACCATAGGGAGTATGATAATGCTATGATGCCCATTAAACGCTGATGCATTTCCTCTGCATGGCTGTGAATTTTATTTATTCATTTATATTAAAAAGAGAGTACTTATGCGCAGTATCTGCATACATGCAGGGGCATACGTGTAAGGAAGCTCAGTTGTGTGCAAATGCAGGGCTGTATGTATTAAGTACACATCTCATTTGTGATGTAAATGCATTGGTGTTGTGTGGGTCACTGTGTGTTTGTATGTAGCTGTGTGTGTCCAGGGTGTGCATGTTGTGTGTGTTTGTATATATGCATGTTGAGTGTATGCAAAGTGTAGAAGCTATTTTTTAATTAGTGGCTTAACGAGTTCCCATAGCATTGCCGGGGTGGCATATTCAATCCATCTGTCATTTGTATGGGGGAGGTAAGGCCATGCAGAAATCACAGTTCTCACATACGTTTGCAGTGGGGCCTGGCCTTGCCTATCACGGACAAGAAGATTGCGGCATCAGCCAATGACACAATCTATTTATTTGTGGCAGGGCTAAAAAGTAGAAGGAAAACAATTTGCCTGTCCGCTGCCCAGATCTACATGTCCCATTTGGACCAGAGGAATGCCACATCCATTCACTATGACTTTTCTATGGCTGACATTCCGTAAAGGCCTCCAGTTCTTTATAATGCAGGAAGTAGGACTGAACTTTAATGTTTAGTTAAATATTAACAATAAGAACTGCCAGAATAGGTAAGTGCAAATGAAACAACATTAGGATAACAATAGATTTGTACAACTTTCATATTGCTGATCTGTTAGAGTAATTTCCTTATTCTGAAGACAATAGCTAAAATAGAGATACAGTGACTACCCCAAAGACATAAGGGGCAGCCATGGAATCTCGCCTCCAATACGGAGGATGGTCACCTAAACCATGCTCCCTCAAATGGGATAACCCTGAAATAACCAGTAATAATAAGAAAAGCCCCCATAAACCCCCTTAATAAGTAGAGTGACATGGGGGAACACATTCAAGTTAAAAGCAGCAAAAGAACCCTATCTTTAATTAGAACTTGGCAAAAGGAGGGATAGACAAAAAAGGAGTTCGACTTATTATATTTATATAGCGCCAACAAATTCCATAGCGCTTTACAATGGGTGATGTAATTGTAACCAGACAAGTTTGACACACAGAGGGGTTGAGGGCTTTGCTTAATGAGCTTACATGCTAGAGGGAGTGAGGTAAAGTGACACACAAGATTAGGGAAGTAGATTGGTAGAATAGTATTCAATGAAGACTTAGTGTGGGGTTTTGGAGCCATTAACAGTGGAGACTAGGTGAGCATCTAACGGAAAAGGGAAGGAAGTTCCACAGGAATGGTGCAGCCCTAGAGAAGTCTTGAAGGCGAGCAACAGAGGATAGATGCAGGTCTTCGGCAGAGCGTAGGCGCCTAGACTGGACATGTTTGTCTATTAGGGAGGATAGATAGGTGGGAGTAGCATTATGTAGAGATTTGAAAGCAAGAACCTGAATTTTATATTGAGCCCTATATCTTATGGGAAGCCAATGCAGGGACTGACATAGGAGGGAGGTGCTGGTGGACAGGAAGAGGAGCCTCTCCGCCGCATTCATTATAGACTGCAGTGGGGCAAGTTGGAAACATGTAAGACCACTGAGAAGTGGATTGCAGTAGTCCAGGCGCGAGAGAGGACAGTGGCATGGGACAGAACCGTAGCAGCATCTGGCGTTCAGTAGGGGCGGATGCGCACAATGTTTTTAATATGGAAGTGGCAGGATTTGGCGATCGACTGGACATGAGGAGTGAAGGAGAGGTCGGAATCAAAGAGAACACCTGGGCAGCGAGCCTGCGTGGTGGAGCTGATGGTAGCACCATTAACGTGAAGGGAAACAGAAACTGGGGTAGCAACACTTGAGGGAGGAAAGACCAGAAATTCTGTTTTGGACAAGTTGAGCTTAAGAAAGTGGGCAGCCATCCAGTTAGAAATAGCAGAGAGGCAGTCAGAGACACTAGTCAAGAGGAGCTGGGAGTGAGCCACAGAGGACAGATAGCTTTGTGTGTCATCCGCATAGAAGTGATATTAGAAGCCAAAGGATGAGTTTACCAAGGGAAGCAGTATAGATCGAGAACAGTAGGGGACCAAGGACTGAACCTTGGGGGGCGACAACAGAGCGAGGTTGGGAGGAAGAGGCAGAGAAAGAGACACTAAAAGAGCACTGGGTGAGGTAGGAGGAGCACCAGGAGAGAGCAATATCTCATAGACCGAGATTACGAAGGATGAGAAGAAGCTGTTTATGATTAACAGTATCAAAAGCAGCGGAAAGGTTAAAGAGAATTAGGATAGAGTAGTGACCATGAGATTTTGCAGGGAGTAGACTGTTTGATACTTTGGTCAAACAGTCTCCGTTTCCACAGAGTGCTTAGCGCGGAAACCAGACTGAAGTGGGTCAAGCAGAGAACTGGACTCGAGGAAGTCTGTCAATCTCACATACACAAGTCTTTCAAGGATCTTGGATGCAAAAGGCAGTAGTAAGATAGGGTGGTAGTTGGACATGGAGTTAGGGTCAAGGTTGGGCTTTTTTAGAATTGGGGTTACAGTTGCATGTTTGAAGGGTAATGGAAATATGCCAGAGGAGAAGGAGAGATTGAGAATTTTAGTGAGAGGCAAAAGAAGAGAAGGAGACGGAGTACGGATGAGATGAGAGGGAATAGGATCAAGGGGAGCAGGTGGTGGGGCGGGAGGACTGGAGCAGATCAGAAACCTCTTCCACCGTTGGAAGTTAGGTTGGGGCGAAATATTGTAAGGGGAAGGAGAGAGATGAGAGATCTCTTCCCTGATTGTAGAGATCTTGTCCGTAAAGTCAGTTGCAAAGTTTGTGGTTAAGTCTGTAGAAAGAGGAGGAGTAACAGGGCGAAGAAGTGAGTTAAAAGTGTGAAATAGTCGTTTGGGTTCGCAGGAGAGTGTGGTGATGAGGGTATTGAAATTATTTACTTTTGAAGAGGAAAGAGCCAAGCTGTAAGAGAGCAGCATAAATTTATAGTGGAGAAAGTCAGATATGGAGTGAGACTTTCTCCAGCAGCGTTCAGCAGACATAAAGTGATGATCATATGGTATCCAAGGGAATAAAGGTGTGAGAAACAAGACAAATATATTTTGCTGCTTTTAACTTGACTGTGTTGCCCCCTGTCACTCTACTTCTTAGGGGACTGTATGAGGGCTTTTTTTATTCCTAATTTCCTTATACTTTCGGCAGAAAAGAATACTCTGTGTTCGAGCTGCGACCGGTTTATTTGGGCTTTTTACCTCTGTAATCTTTGTTGCCTGTTGGTGCACACTAAGCACCCAATACGATAGTTTTGGCAAGAAGAGTGTGGTATTTTTGGCCACACAAAGTCTTTTATGAAGTCAACTGCTAAGGCAATCTGTATCACATTATTTAGAACTGCTGAAATAATAAATCTATCTGTAATCCAGTGCCAGCACAGACTCCTCACTGCAGCCCAGTCCATCCACAGTGAAATCCTTAAACTTGATCTCTGTCTAGTCCAATGCTTCTTATAGAGAAGCATTGAGTGCATACAAGCTAACCAAACCAGGAAGTGACACTATCTGGAGGATGTAATCTTTTGAAATCTGCAATATTTCCAAAATGAAAAAGAGGTCATACTCTTCACACATAAAGCTGCAAGCTGAAGTGCTTTAGGGATCTGGAGTGTCCCTTTAAGATGTAGTAGTTATGGTGTTTACATTTTGTTTTGTAAAATACATACTTTGTAACTTATCGTATCGTATTCCAGGATGTCAAGGCACTGTCTGCATACAGTACTTCTATGGTGCACCGCATCGCACCTTGAAAGGAATTTCTGTACTTATGGGCATCATACAAGTGATGTAATGATGATGCCTCACACCTGGATATACTGCAGAAGTTGATATGTTCCTCACACCAGTCAACACTCCAGTAGCTTTTATTGGGGTGAAGGAGGGAATGAGGAAATATCAGTGTCCTAAAAGTATCACTCTCCTTTGACGTATTGATTTCTTACGGCCACAAGGGGTCACTCTCTGTACTAAGTAGTTTAAAGGGCTAATGATGTAAGTGAACCGCTTTATATAAAGCTATATCCTCACAGTAAACATTTCAATGGTTTCATATGGAGTCTTGTTATTGGAGTGCAAAAAAAATAAAACATTACATGTTATTTTAAACAAATGTTTGGTACCTGCAATTAGATTAGCAGCATAATTTAAATGATCCGCAAAGAACAAACATAGCAAAGGTACTTACAAAAATTTGCAGTGCCCAGCGTAGTCACCACATAGTTGCTTTTTGTATCGAATGCATCATGCATTATTGTTTTAAATCGCCATGTGATTTAAGCGGTTTCTTTGTCTTGGATTGTCATACTGTTAATCCTTTGGGCCCCACACGGCATTTAATGATTTCTGCAGCAGTACTAAGGAGAGTCTGTTTGGCTTTTTGTGATATCAAATTGTCAAAACTCTCTTGACAGAAAACGTCTGCGTTTGCAATAATTCAAATCCCATTCTGTCACAAGGACATGTCTGTATTTATTGAGTGTACCTTGTGATAGGCCCGTCAACATATCATTAATTTAATGCTATTTCCTGGTTGAGATGTGCTGCATCTGACAGTTTTATTATATTTTTACCCAGCCAATTAAACGTGCTGTTGCCACAATGTCATGTTCAGTTCAGTGGCCCAGTGGGAGAGGGACTAATGAGGGCAGTAGGGGTGTGTGTTAATATGGCTGAAAATTCATGGGGCAGACTTGGGGCAGTAATTGCCACTGACCCCTTGGCCAGAGATCCAACCATTGCCTAGGGATTGGCACAAATGTACTGGGCACGTGTCAAATTACAAAGCATTAATACCTCAGCTTGCCAAAATAGCATGTCGACCTGAGATAGAGGTTTCTGGTTTTGCAGTTTTTTGATTCAATTACAGGCCGAGTAGCCTGAGATAGCCTTTTGGGTTATAGTGGGGCACTGGAAACACTCACCCAATGGCGTAACTAGGGTTGGCGGGGGAGGCGGTCCTCTTTGTGTGGCACTTATTTGTGGGTTGTCCAGAACTGGAGGGGCGGACGAAGCCTGGTCACGCTGCATAAATTGACCGCCAGGAAAGGAGCGCTGTGTGTTCCCCTCCTGCCAATCACTTGGACATATCCCTGCTCCCTGTATGCTAAACAGCTTGTGGGACTTTAGTGATGAGGCTGAGCTGAGAGGTCGGCAAAAGCTCTAGCTACGCCACTGCACTCACCATCATAATATAACAAAAGTAACCCTGATAAGGGCTACTGAACTTGGCTTTTGACTGTTGCAAGTGTGAGTGTAATTCCAGCTTGTGGACTATGAACATCTTCTGCTTATTTGGATGACTCAAACCATAGAGGCTGAGAACCAGAAGCTGCATGTGAATGCTTCTTAATAATATGCTTCTACAGTATCCAATTCCTGTCCGGTCAAAGTTCTCTATGTACATAGAAAATGATGGGATATTTTGCTATGTAGTGGCAGTGTGCATGGTGTCTCTCTTATCAAAACATCTCAGCTGTTCATGTTGATGCCACTAATTATGGATTATGAAGCAGAGCGCTGATAACCGTGAGCTGGTGGACTATACATTAAACTGTTCTTTTCTGTTGCTGGAAAGACATAATAATGATTTCTAAAATGATACAGTTTCATGTTGTTTATATACAGTTAAGGCTGATTTATAATTTGCTAAAGGAACTGCAATAAAAGCCAAAATGGAACAAAAATGTTGTGTGTGTGATATTTTTTTTACTTTTCATAGAAGTTGTTTCTAAATGCAAAAGAGTTTAAGGGGAAATAAAGTATCTAACGTTTATTGATGAATAATTAATATAAAAAAAGATCTTTTGTTTTATCTTCCGTTAAACCTGTAAACTTACTTTTTTTGAATGTCAAATATAATTTTGTTTTTTAAACTTTGTTTTTATTATAGCAGCAAATGATAGTACATGGTCCTCCTATGCACTTTTTTTACTTTATACGTTGATTACTTTCTTCCAATAGTGGTTTGTTTTTTTTCTGTTTGGGGATGTGGGGAAATAGGGGGGTTGCACTTTAAATTACTCCACAAATAGTTTTATGATGGGTTGGTAGTGATACCTGGCTCAGTGAGAAGGTATTTTCTAAGTAACTTGAATTTGCAAACATGCTAACTTAGCTTCAGTGATTTACAGTGGTCATGGTGTTAGGAGTCTGGAGGTGCTTTCTCTGCGAGAAGCCTTTAAATAGATTGCTTGAGGCCTTTGATAGCATCGGTGGGAGCTTTGCCTAGGGCTGAATTCCAGGTAAGTAAAAAAAAACAAAAAAACAAAACACTCTTTTTGTTGTTGCAGATTTTAGTGCTATATTTAGTGGGGAACCTAATGAGCATATTAACTAGGGAAAAAAATAAAATGAAAAAAAGGTTACAATAGCCCTTTAATAAACAGATCACATTCCTTTGTTGGAGCCAACAAAATTTCTGAGAATTGGAAATATTTATAGAGAACCAACATATTCACGCAGAGCAGTACAATAGGTAAAACGAAAACCAATTCTAACAGTGTTTGACTTACAGGAACAGCAGGTGAAGAGTGCCCTGCCCAAATGAGCTCAAAGAAACCAGTGAAACTTTCTTATCTCAAGAGCAAACCCTGAGTTACAAACAATGAATAAGGGATTGCTGTATCCCACATTTGAGATGGCCTTTAAGCAGTGGCAGAACTAATCTAATAAGGACCCCCTCTCTAGTGCAAGGGTGTCAAAAGGGAGATTTCCATAAGTCCTACAACTCCCAGAATACTATGCCATCTGGGGATCTACACTTTGCCTATCCTTCAGGGTTGTATTGAGGAGCAGTGTTTGTGTGTTTTATTATTTTTGTATGGAGTACATGTGCATGCATGTAGGGGTCTATTTGTTTGTACTGTTGCAGTGAATACAGTGGAGTACTTCTATGTAATATTTGCGTAAACAGAAAAAGGTTGAGTCGTGGGTTACCATGGTACCCACCAAAGGAAGATGAAATAGTAGTGAGGAATTTTTTTTTTTTTAAATACGGCAGACAAAACTGAGAAAAAAGACGGAAGCCCAAGAACAGATATGTGCAAAAGTGCTACCACATGTTTATTGAAGAACAAGTATACCAACAAACGTTTCGGGCATAGCCCTTCATCAATGCATCTTGTCCTTGTAATACAGTCAAAGACTCACCAATCTTTAAGACAACATTCAGCAAATACACTCCCAAACCCACCCCCCAATTGAGCAGGGAAGAGGGGACTGACTCCAGCGTGGGCCCACCATCTTTCATGTTTCCACCGGTCATGTAATGCGTCATGATGTATGATGTCAGTGAGTTAAAGCAATTAAAGAAGGAAAAAAAGCACAGCAATATATACATAAAGGACATAATAAATAAGGGGAAATAAAACTAAATATACAGTAAAAACAAGGAAACTTTAGCAGCCTGAACCTGAGGGAGTACAGTTCCCTAAGGTACCAGTGAAGTGAAAGAAATAATTCCTCTGTGTTAAATTAGGGAGTCAAAATGAAATGAACACACCAAAATATTAAAAAAATAACTATCAAAAATAATCAACACCTAAACCTAAAGGTGAATAGCACATTTACATAAATACATGAGAACGGATTGTTTACCCGACATACCTCAAGCCGCACGGTCACTTTAGGAGATACACTACAAATTCCATCTGACATGTAAAAAATCCCTTCAATTTAATGATCTGGTCTGCCCTGGGGTGTGTGCACGTGTCCCCCTTGATAATACCATTACAGTGGTTACAGTAAAGACATGGACTGTTGCTTTTGTGTGCACACGCTTCTCACCTGCCGACGTCAGCCGGCAGGGGAGACTTATTGCGCATGCACGGCAATGGCCGCACGCACATTAGACCTCCCCATAGAAAAGCATTACTTAATGCTTTCCTATGGAGAAAATGCAGAGCGTGAGGACGTCCAGCGTCAGATAATGGACCAAAAGTCCTTTTAGATTCCGGAAGCACCCCCAGTGGGGGCAGACTTAGAGCTGCAGTTTTCTGGAACTGCAATGTTTTACATTGCAGCACTAAGTGCAATAGGGACAAGGCACCCCGACCACTTCAATGAGCTGAAGTTGTCTGGGTGCCTACAGTGTCCCTTTAAGATGTTCCAGAAAACTATCAAGTTCCATTTGCGTGCCCCTCCAGATCGTAAAGCAGTCATCTATGCATCTGTACCAGACAGAGACATCATGTGTCATGAATGTTGGATTACTGTAAAAAAATCTATCCTCACTCAAAGTCCATGATAATAAATTTGCATAGGATGGAGCCAAATTGGTCCCCATCGCTGTGCCTTTCACTTCCTCATAAAAAGTAATAGATAACAAGATAGATAGATAACGAAAGTAGTTCTTTTTAAAAATGCTTTCAAGCAGTGTCACAACAAAGGTACATTTGTGTCAACTTGATATTCCGTCTCTGTGTAGGGTTGAAGTACACAGACTGGAATCATCCAGGGTTACTAGGTCAGACTGTAGAAGAGACACATCTTTAATCTTCATCAGGAATCCTTAGTATCCTGGATATAGGATCTGCCTGCTGAAATCAGTGGTTGTAAAAACTGGTCCACATAAATATCTAGAGGTTGAAAAATAGAATCTGTCCCTGCAACAATCGATCATGTTGGGTGCTGTATCTACCTGTCCACTCCTGCTCTCTCTCCGCCCATCTTGACTCGTGTCTCTTACTGCCTCTCTGCGATTTCCAGACGGATGGCTTCTCACTTCCATAAACTCAACCTGTCCAAAACAGAACTTCTGGTCTTTCCTCTATCAAGTGTTACTACTCCCGTGTTTGTCTCCCTCCAAGTCAACGGTGCTACCATCACCCAGGGCCGGACTGGCCCACCGGGATACCGGGAAATTTCCCGGTGGGCCGCGGCACCTGGGGCCGGTCTGACAGCCCTAATCATTGGGCTGACAGCTCCTGTGCAGCCCTGTGATCCCGGCTGGCCATGTGTGAGCTGTGCGGCCGCACAGAGCCCCATGGGAGCAGGGGGAGCCAGCCGGGATGAGAAAAATAAGGCCGGGATGAGAAAAATAAAAATACATTTGCGGTGGGGGAGGGGCTTACGTGTGGTGGGGCGGGGCTTACATGTGGCAGGGCGGAGCTAGCGTGCAGCTGGGCGGAGCTTAGCTGCGGCGGGGGCCTGGCTGACTGCAGCATGGGAAACAGGAAGGAGTTCCTCCCTCCCCAACAACCAGCCTCCAGGAGCTCCAAGCAGGAGGCAAGAAGCAGGTCAGTGTGTCTGTGTGACTGTCTGTGTGTGACTGTCTATGTGTGACTGTCTGTGACTGTCTGTGTGTGACTGTGTGTGACTGTCTGTGTGTGACTGTCTGTGTGAGTGTGTGACTGTCTGTGTCTGTGTGACTGTCTGTGTGAGTGTGTGACTGTCTGTGTGACTGTCTGTGTGTGACTCTGTGTGTGTGTGACTGTCTGTGTGTGACTGTCTGTGAGTGTGTGACTGTCTGTGTGAGTGTGTGACTGTATGACTGTCTGTGTGTGTGTGACTGTCTGCCTGTGTGTGTGTGTGTGTGACTGTCTGCCTGTGTGTGCGTGACTGTCTGCCTGTGTGTGACTGTCTGTGTGTGTGTGACTGTCTGCCTGTGTGTGCGTGACTGTCTGCCTGTGTGTGACTGTCTGTGTGTGTGTGTGTGTATGTGTGTGACTGTCTGCCTGTGTGTGTGAGTGTGTGGCTTTTACCATAAAATAACTAATATTTTGAATTAGAAGAAGAAATGTATCAATAATAAAAAAAAAAGTATATATATATATATATATATATATATATATATATATATATATATACTGTTGCATCACCAGGGCTCCAGTATCCAGTATATATATAGGCAATTGAAATAGTTGGCTGCACTCTCGGATTTCCTTAAAATTTTACTTTTATTTAAATATTTAAGAGAAGATCAACGTTTCAGTCCCTCTTGTGGACTTGCATCAGGATCATGATGAAAGTCCACAAGAGGGACTGAAACATTGATCTTCTCTTAAATATTTCAATAAAAGTTACATTTTCAGGAAATCCGAGAGTGCAGCCAACTATTTCAATTGCCTATATTGTCAGGGTATTTATATCGGCAGACATCTTGTGCTATGATAGAAATTAAAAGTGTATATTCTGAGTCACTCTGAACAGACCAGACTCCATTTTGTTATTTCCAAGTTAACAAAAGACACGAGATTTCTATCTGTAAAACTAACCACTTTGCCAGAGCTAAAGGAATGCATAGTATATACAAACCAAGTGATAAGGAGAACGGGGGTTGGATAGACTGTCTAAATGGTAAGGGAATAGATCAATTCTAAACCCAGACATTGGTGACAGAGAAGATTAAATAATAACATTTTACTTTCTATATGTACAAGATCCCATTGTAAGTTACGGTTCAAAACTCAGAATTTGCCAGACACATAGTCTGGACAAAACTTAAAGAAACTGTCTGAAGTGACAGCAAATCTAAATTATGGCAACTATAAAGATAGGCCAAAATGACGTCAAAATAGCCACCAGGAAAAGTTAACTCTTTCCTGGATAGGTATGTTTAGTGGGACAAGACTGCCCTCTATAGATCAAATACCTAAATTGCGATCCCTAGGTAAGCACACCTCTAGTGCTTCTATTGGGTTATCAACTGATGACGTACAGAGAGTCTGGCCCTTTAAAAGTTAGGACAAAGGGTTGAAAGAAGGAAAAAAGAGGAGAGAGGAATTGGAAGTTTGGGGACTCCATCCTCCATGCAGAGAAACCCAGGACAACATCTGAGACTAACACTTAACTCTTAAAACTCTAACACTTAGAATTTCACTGACTTTCTAACCAACACCACCTTTCTCCATAACTCATGCAGAGAGACATCCAAATAAGTTCCTGAGACTAACTACCAATCGGATGAAAGATCTACTCAACTGGTAATTATACTGGTTTCATTTAATTATTTAAATTAATTAAAATTTACTAATAGCATGATATATGACTGGATAAAGCACGGTCAGATTTCCATATTAAGAAATCTTAGTTAACTAAAGAATATATAGTTATAAACATTCCATTCTGCAGGTGGAATTAAGAATAATTATATATTCATGTGATATTATCACGTGTTAGCATACCGCTATTTTTATCCAGGTGTATTGATTTGCACTAATATAAGATAAGATATATTTTAGGCGAATTAAAAATCTGCATATATAATATGGTAGATTCTCTTATTGGATGGTTCCAGGAAATGACTAATGAACTGGTTTAAATGTTATTTTATTTAAAATTACATAAGAATAGATCTTAATTACTTAGGAGATCTAGCCAGCATTGAAAGGGTTATTCTAACTGTTAACCAGGGTTTTATGGCCCTTCGCTTTCTCTCTGTGTAAGGATACCTCATAAATCGTGTAAGACTTGACAGAAAATGCTGTTTAGCCATTGAAATGTGTATAGCCATTCCTTTGTATTGCATACCATTTTATACTGGATATTCATTGATTATTGTCACGCATGTTACATAATATTATTTGTTAATTATTGGTTATTATAAATAAAATCTATTTTTATAACATTGTGATATTATTTATATGAAATACATTCCACTTACGATAACGACCTTTGGGATCTGAGAATTGAATTAGTGGGCAATTCTCACTGTTTACTATTATTATCCCATAAATATCCCCACAATATATATATATATATAAAAAAACACCCTACATAGCACAATGACTTATGGGACTGGCATAGATTTTTTTCCAGGGCTGCTTCGTATCCCCAGTCCGGCCCTGCCATCACCTCTACCTCACAGGCTCGCTGCCTGTGTGTTCTTTTTGACTCCAACCTCTCCTTCACCCCTCATGTACAATCAATCGCCAAATCCTGTCGCTTCCATCTGGTCCATGCTGTTGTTCTCTCTCGCCTTGACTACTGCAATCCCCTTCTCAGTGGTCTTACTTGTTCACAGATTGCACCACTGCAATCTATAATGAATGCGGTGGTGAGGCTCATTTTCCTGTCCGCCCGCACCTCCCACGCCTCCCACTTCTGTCAGTCCCTGCATTGGCTCCCAGTTAGATATAGGGCTCAATTTAAAATTCTGGTGCTTGCTTACAAGTCCCTACATAATGCTGCTCTAACCTACCTATTTTCTCTAATACACAAGTATGTCCCATGGAGGCCCCTAGGCTATGCCAAAGACCTACGTATATATTCTCTGTCCGTACTCCCTCCTCTGATGCTCGCCTCCAAGATTTCTCCAGGGCTTCACCTCTTCTCTGGAACTCCCTTCCCTTCCCCGTAAGACTTTAACCCAGTCTCCACTCATTCAAAAAAATCATTGAAAACTCACTTCTTCAAGAAAGCATATCAATTAAACTGTTAGCAGGTTTTTATCCCCCACCCTCCATGACTCCTCTAATGCAACTATCAAAAATTACCTACTAAGCCCTCAGTGAATACTTTTCTAACAACCTTTGAGCAGAGTCCTCTTCAACCTATTTTTCCTGTAAGTTTTCTTGTAATTGTCCTATTTATAGTTAAATCCCCAGTCTCATAATATTGTAAAGCGCTACGGAATCTGTTGGCGCTATATAAATGGCAATAATAATAATAACCTACTTCGTACCCCTACTTTTACCCTTTGTGTCACTATACCCCACTCCCTCTAGAATGTAAGCTCATTGAGCAGGGCCCTCCACCCCTCTGTTCCTGTACGTCCAGTTGGCTGGTTACAATTACATGTCTGTTAGTCCACCTAGTGTACTGCGCTACGGAACGTGATGGCGCTATATAAATAATAATAAATAGTGCTCCTCTTCACTTCTCTTGGTATGTGAAGAATATCTCCAGATCGGCCGTGGCAGCATTAATATTGGCATTTAGAATTTATCTGGTAATAATTTAGAGTTTAATGAATAATGCTTTATTCTGTCCAATTAAACCAAATTGTGATTGAATTACAAATGAAGTGAATGGCAGGGAGTTAAAGTGATATGTGTGGGTTTGGCACAGTTTGTTTAGTGACTCTCCAGCCAGCATTGTCTGCTAATAACACACACTCTGCCTTTACAGCACTGTGACTGAGAGCAGCTGGAGCTCTGGAGGACTACATTTCCCAGCAGGCTTATGTAGCCATGTCAGTCAGTGAGTATCACGGGAGACGTAGTCCATCGCAGGCAGGCTGTGATTTCTAGGAACCAGGAGGGGCCAGGCGGGGTAGAGGTTTGCAGCGCGATGACGTAAGCACGTAGTTCCGTGTCCGAGTGTGTGTGCGGAGGATACGGCGGGTGCTGGACAGACGGACCCGTACCGGGCATGGGGGAGCAGGACGGACCGGTACCGGGCATGGGGGAGCAGGACGGACCGGTACCGGGCATGGGGGAGCAGGACGGACCGGTACCGGGCATGGGGGAGCTGGCCGGACCGGGGGTCGGGCTCTCCCGATCGTTACAGCTCGGGCTGCTGCTGGCCGTGCTCGCTATGGGGGTAACAGGTCAGTGTGCTGGAGGCAGGGCGATCAACTATCACAACTTCACCATCACCGGGACTGACTGTGCGCTCCCTGACTGTCACTGTGCGCTCTCCCTGACTGTCACTGTGCGCTCTCCCTGACTGTCACTGTGCGCTCTCCCTGACTGTCACTGTGCGCTCTCCCTGACTGTCACTGTGTGCGCTCCCTGACTGTCGCTGTGCGCTCTCTGACTGCTCCCTGACTGTCACTGTGCGCTCTCCCTGACTGTCGCTGTGCGCTCTCTGACTGCTCCCTGACTGTCACTGTGCGCTCTCTGACTGCTCCCTGACTGTCACTGTGCGCTCTCTGACTGCTCCCTGACTGTCACTGTGCGCTCTCCCTGACTGTCGCTGTGCGCTCTCTGACTGCTCCCTGACTGTCACTGTGCGCTCTCTGACTGCTCCCTGACTGTCGCTGTGCGCTCTCCCTGACTGTCGCTGTGCGCTCTCTGACTGCTCCCTGACTGTCGCTGTGCGCTCTCTGACTGCTCCCTGACTGTCACTGTGCGCTCTCTGTCGCTGTGCGCTCTCTGACTGTCGCTGTGCGCTCTGACCCTGACTGTCGCTGTTTTCTGTGTCTGTCAGTATGCAGTCTCTGACTGTCACTGTGCGCTCCCTGACTGTCGCGGTGCGCTCTGACCCTGACTGTCGCTGTTTTCTGTGTCTGTCAGTATGCAGTCTCTGACTGTCACTGTGCGCTCCCTGACTGTCGCTGTGCGCTCTGACCCTGACTGTCGCTGTTTTCTGTGTCTGTCAGTATGCAGTCTCTGACTGTCACTGTGGGTTGTCTGTCACTGTGCTGTACGTGTGTCTCTCTCCCCCACACTCTGTTAATGTGCTGTGTTGTACGTTGTGTGTATTGTGAATTAAATCAACAAAAGCACCATGCTAATACATTTTAGAACACTTGCATCGCATGAACATTATGCTGGATGGATTGACATTTGTAAAACTTGAACTATGATGTTGATTTCTGGATAGAAAAATTAAAGCTAAAATAGCCACGTTGTGATTGCAGCCAAGTAGAAGAATATCCTCAAAATGAACCATGTTTCCCTAAAACCTACCTGGATTTCATTTTGCTATGAATTAGTGTTTAGTCAAAAGCTCTGACAATATCAAGCGGACAGTAATATTATTAGCTGCATTGACAAATCTATGCCAAGGTCGTTCATTTTACACTGTTAATTGATGTATGAGGTGATCATTGAAATGGACAGGGGGTGTACACAGAGACCCCCTAAAGTGTGGTCATCTTGTATTCCCTGACCCCTGCATAGTTCTAAGTGAGCAGGTTTTCTAGAGTTTGTGTTTTTAATATAAACAAATCCTAGAGCAAAACTGTGTATTTTGTAACTTAGAATTTTTTTTAACTTAAAGATTTCATGGTCATTTTCTCTGGGTGTAAATGTACCTTAGTGTACTGTGCATGCCTATGGAGGTATATTTCTTCAGGTGTAACTAGTCGGCATGCTTTTCTCTACTGCCTAGCAATACATGTACATTTACATAAACAAGAATCAATGAAGACTTTTTTAATATCTTGATGGTGAGTGTTATGGGAAAAACACGCTGATGTCTTATTTAAAAATAAATAATTAATTTTAAAAATCTTAGACACAGTCATATCCCTTATACACGTGGTAGATCAGCATAGTTTTTCAATAACCACAAACAAGGGCTAATAGCACGAAAAGATGGAAACATAACAGCGATATAAAAGTGGTATGTTCAAGTACTGTAATATACTTAATTGGGCCCCAGGCAATTAGATTTAGCCTCAAATCTCTGCCCAGAAAATCCATCAGGCAAGCTTTATAATAGAGGTGTGTTGCACACGTGCAGATATCACATAAGTTCACAAGGGATTCTCATAGACTTTTTATAATGGATTTCCAATAAGTAAGCATGAACAGTATTACAAGGAACATTTGTAACCAACATTCTATCTGGGTATGGGTTCAAACAGTCACATCCACCTGGTGGTTGTGCAATATTCACGTGGTATCATACCCTGAATGCTAATGTCTTATATTAAATAAGTTTTGACAAGTGTCTAGAACAGGGCAATGCACTATCCAACAGCTACTGAATTAAATCTCGTGCTTCGCTGCAGCTACAGAACTGCTGTGAGAGCCAACTAAATTAAAGATATGCTGTTGTGTTCAATTCATTTCGAGTGTAGATAATGGTCGTATGAAAAATATTTGTAAACTTTTAATAACACATTTACCAATTGGTAAGTGAACTTAATGTTCATTGAATTAACCCCTCTCAGTGATGATTGCTGGTTGTGTTTACATCTAACATATGATTAAGTGCAAGAAGCTGTGAAATAAGTAGGCTTACTCTGTTCTTAGCACATTCCCTTCCCATATCTTTGTTGTGCTTTGTACGTATATTACAGATCCATAATGCTCCTTTTATTTGTGCTATCTCCTTTTTTCTTATCACCCTTAAGAGTATGATCTTACGTTGTTAGAATACATTTTTACCACGAGTGCCTGAAATTTGAAAATGGTGCTATGAACCTACTGTTGTCATTCTTCATTATTTACAGAACACTTTAGTGGCTTCATAATCCAAATCAAAATATTTGTCCTTTGCAAGTTGCTATTCCCTTTTAAATTCTCTAGTTTTTTTTTTTTTTTAAATGAATATTCTATTTAGTCCAAAGCTTGTATGTGTGTAGATAGATATTTGTTTCACCACTCTGGGTAGTGTGCCCCAAATATGTTTTATTAAAGAATATTAAAAAATATATATATATTATAATATTTTCAATTATCTATTTATAAAACACAATGTATGTTATAAAATATCAGAGTATACAAACCACATATGAATCTTTAAAATATTTCACAATTTCATCAAACATCAAAACTAGGGGTAGGGAAGTGGTGATGGTGGGGAGAGCATCCATCTTGAATAATACATCGTAACTTAGGCTCTTATGACATCAGCATCTGAAGATTTTATGCACAAATATAATACTATAATAACTGATACAATATGTCACATGAAAATGACAATGTTTCCTATTAATTTTCTTACATAGCAGTAAATAATCCATCCATAGTCCTTTTTTAATCTTCTTCCCACCTATCCCAGTAATAATTGCTTTATTTTTTTGAATCCCAGACTATTGGAAGTTAGCGAATGTTGTGCCCAATCACAAGAAAGGTAATAGGGAGGGGTCAGGCAACTATAGGCCAGTACGTCTTACTTCAGTAGTGGGGAAAGTGATGGAAACCATGTTAAAGGATAGGATTGTTGAACATCTAAAAACGCATGGATTTCAAGATCAGAGACAACATGGGTTTACTTCAGGGAGATCATGCCAAACTAATCTTATTGATTTTTTTTGATTGGGTAACTAAAATAATAGATCAGGGTGGTGCAGTAGACATTGCTTACTTAGATTTCAGTAAGGTTTTTGACACTGTTGCACATAGAAGGCTTATCAATAAACTGCAATCGTTAAGTTTGGATTCCAATATTGTTGAATGGGTAAGGCAGTGGCTGAGAGACAGACCAACAGAGGGTTGTAGTCAATGGAGTATATTCGAAGCTTGGGCTTGTCACCAGTGGGGTACCTCAGGGATCTGTACTTGGACCCGTTTTCTTTAATGTTTTTATTAGTGATATTGCAGAAGGTCTTGTGGAAAGGTATGTCTTTTTGATGATGATACTAAGATATGTAACAGGGTTGATGTTCCGGGAGGGATAAGCCAAATGGCAAATTATTTAGGTAAACTAGAAAAATGGTCAGTTGTGGCAGCTGACATTTAATGTGGATAAGTGCAAGATAATGCATCTTGGAAAACCCAAGGGCAGAGTACAGAATATTTGATAGAGTCCTAACCACATCTGAGGAAAGCGATTTAGGGGTGATTATTTCTGATGACTTAAAGGTAGGCAGACAATGGATTAGAGCAGCTGGAAACACTAGCAGAATGCTTGGTTGTATAGGGAGAGGTATTAGCAGTAGAAAGAGGGAAGTGCTCATGCCATTGAGGAGAACGCTGGTCAGACCTCACTTGGAGTATTGTACGCAGTACTGGAGACTGTATCTCCAGAATGATATTGATACTTAAGAGAGAGTTCATAGAAGGGATACTAAACTGGTTCATGGATTGCAGGATAAAACTTACAAGGAAAGGTTAAAGGAACTTAATTTTACACTGTTAATTGATGTATGAGGAACATTGAAATGAACAGGGGGTGTACACAGAGACCCCCTAAAGTGTGGTATAGCTTGGAGGAAAGACGAGACAGGATATGATAGAAACATTTAAATACATAAAGGGAATCAACACAGTAAAGGAGAAGATTATATTTAAAAGAAGAAAAAAAACTACCACAACATAAGGACGTAGTCTTAAATTAGAGGGGCAAAGGTTTAAAAACATCAGGAAGTATTACTTTACTGAGAGGGCAGTGGACGCATGGAATAGCCTTCCAGCTGAAGTGGTAGAGGTTAACACAGTAAAGGGGTTTAAGCATGTGTGGGATATTCATAAGGCTATTCTAACTATAAGATAAGGCCAGGGACTAATGAAAGTATTTAAAATAAAAAAAATTGGGCAGACTAGATGGGCCGAGTGGTTCTTATCTGCTGTCACATTCTATGTTTCTATGAATGTGTGTTCCTTATTTTAAGGTCCTTTTACCAGGGGCTTATATGTCTGTGTGTTCCCCATAGTATATTAGGTGTTCCTAGAACTGCAGTTTTCTAGATAGAATCTGATTGCTACATCCACCACCACTGCGGCTTCCATTCTGTGTCTTATCAAAACAGTACCGGGTTGGGTAGTCAGTAGTTGCTTGTCTGTGTGGACATGGGCATCCCACAGGATCTAAGCCCTGTCGTTCGTCACTACCCTGGTGTTGCACCTTCTTTCTGTACCTTCTGTTTGTGCCGATGTTTTAGTACATAATCCGAGCACCTTAATTGTGCCTCTCAACGTATGCTGTCCCTGCTAACATCTTGTACCTGGCTACTACAACATTATGTTATTGTAAACCAGTTTCATAAGCCCAATACAGGCTTTAAAAATAAATCTAGCCACAGCCATGACCCAAATGCCATGTTATATGCCTGTACAATAAGTATTCAAAATAAATTAAAAGGGTTGTAGCAGACAAATAGAGGTGAACGGAAACGTCATGGTTTTAGCCAGAGCTGGGCTTTTCCAGCCTAAATGTTGCAATTCATCTTTCTGTTCTCTCCAGTTTGTTGTTTAATAACTATTCATGTGGTTGGTTTCTCACATATTGTATACTTGTGTACTGATTTGTTCTTGTATAGTCATGGTTTTATGATATAGGTTTATATAACTTGTTATAAATAATATTTTCTCTCTTTTTCACTGGTACATTACTGACCTTTTCCACTAATGTTTTATAACATCTAAAATTGTTAGAGGTTACTCAAATTGAAAGTGTCCACGCTCATCAAGACCATTAAAGCATATTTCCTACATGATTGTGAGAAACCATCAACTAGTTTCAAGTTGTGAATCAGATGTTTTATGTAAATCTCTCTTTTTTCCCCTTTTTCTTTGTTATCTGTGGGTTGGTTCTATTATGTATGACGTATGTGGTGTTTGTGTAATTATACATGCAGTATTGACTTCATCATAACCCATTATTGGAAAATTAGGCCTGATTGTGGTTTCTCCCCTGCCCTTTTCACCTCCTATTTTCCATTTCTTCGTTGTACTTGCTTTTTTTTTTTTCTTTTTTCCATAAATGTTTTGCTTAAAATACTTTCAAATACCTAGTGTATTGTTTTCCCTTTCCCTTCACAAATATGTGAACAACCAGGTTTACTTATTAACTTTAAAGGTCATTTTTACCTACTTCCTCATTGCATAGCTCGCAGTGCTACATGCTGCTCGCTGAGTCTTTACTGGCAGCTCACATTAGGCCCCCGACGTGTCAGCAGTAGAATATTAATGGGGGTTCTTTCATCCCTGATGACAGCCAGGAGGGGCATGCATGTAGCCCCCCTTCTTCTAGCATAGCATTACCACATACTGTAGTGTAGCTGCGCAGTAACGAGACAGAAAGTGTTCAGTCTCCTCTACATTCCTCCACATATTTAATATTAAATAATAATAAATTCTAGCCCTGGTGTGTAGGCTATGGCTTGCAGGATCGAGTAACTTTTGAGGCCTAGCTAGTGGCATAGGACTTTAGCTGTGTGTGTGTGTGTGTGTATTTATTTCTGTGAGGGATGGCTTCTGTCCTAAGTAGTAAAATACATTTTAAATAACGGGCGTTTTTTTGGGGGGGGTTTGGTATTGCTCCAATGGCCATTAAAGTCCAAACTTACCTGCTACGTCAAGGCAAACCTCTTAGGTGAGTCCTACATTAACAAGTCACCAACATCTCTATGGAAACAGGAGTATTCTCATGAACCTCTATACACATATTATCCCTTAATAAAATACATGTGTGGGTGGCGGCACTAAAACATTGTGTAATACAGAAGCTAATTAAAACACATAGTGTTAAAAGGACATGGTACAGTCTAAATGACTCTAGTTAGTTTTAGGGTCCCTCCGAGCTTTCAAGATAAAAATAAATAATTGACTTAAAGGGCCACTATAGGCACCCAGACCACTTCAGCTTAATGAAGTGGTCTGGGTGCCAGGTCCATCTAGGGTTAACCCTGCCTGCTGTAAACATAGCAGTTTCAGAGAAACTGCTATGTTTACAAATGGGTTAATCCAGCCTCTATCCAGCATGCGCATTCAGCCGGTGACGTCAGAAGAGGGAGGAGAGTTCCCAGCGCTGGAGAAAGGTAAGCCTTTAACCCCTTCCTTCCCCTAGAGCCCGGCAGGAGGGTGGGGGAGGTTCCAAAGACCCTACAGAGCCAGGAAAACGAGTTTGTTTTCCTGGCACTATAGTGGTCCTTTAATTTTTCTCCAGAGCTCCTAGTCTCCTCCATGCCTGATGTTGGACCAATCTAGTGCTCCTGATAGAGCAGTGTTAGGGACTACAGGCGCTCATTGGGATGTTCATTTGCTTGCATGCAATGATTCTCTATGGCAGACCGTAACAACACTGCACATCACTGACATCACTGTATGCCAGATTATGAGAGTCAGGAAGTAACAGTCCCGTCTCTCATACCTAGAGGGCTCGGAGGCATGGCTTGAAACCACAATTTAGATACATTATATCATTTGGGCCCACTAAGAAGGGAGGAACAACTGTACGCACTATAAAAACTTAATATAGAGGAAGCTGTTATGAGTACAGTGTACCTTTAAGCCATGCACTCAAACTCCATTGATGAATAATATTGTTGTAGCTGCTGTCCAAGAGTAGTAGTAATTTTGTGTGTTAAAAACTAAACAAAAAAAAAACAACCGGGAAAATGAGTGTCTTTCATGGATGTGTTTTTCCCAAACAAGATTTGTTAATTCACTGATGTATTGTCAGTATGTCTTTTTAAATGTGCTGATAGTTCATTTGTAGTTATGCAATACACAGACATGGTTTCCCAGCATCACAGATGAAGCCAAAAAATAATGAAAAACACAAAAAAGCAAAACAGAAGACACCAAATTCCGTCTGCGTACCTTTTGTAATATATGGATAGTTTGTATCTGGAAATCCCCAGTTCCTGGTTTTGGTTTCGTATTTCATCCTTCATTCTCACAGTGTATCAAGCAAGATTAAACATTAACTGTCACTTGCACTTCATGGCTGAGTCCTGTAGGTAGAGCTTCACGCCCAGCAGGGTTGTGGTTCATGTGTATTTCCAGTTAAATGGTAGTTAAAAATACAATTAGATAAACTGTGAATGCAGTTTGTGATCATACACGCAACCTACAGGGTATTTCACTAAAGAGAGAATTCAAAGTGAATTTCGAATTCTAGGTTATCGAACTGGAAGCCTAGCCGACTTTTTTTTGCCTATTTTGACCGTAACAGAGTTATTTACTAAAGCAAGCTTTCAAAGTGAATTTCAAATTCAAGGCCAGAGTAGCTGAGCGGAAACCATAGCTGACTTGCTGGACTTTTCCAGTTCGGCTATTTTCACCTTAAATTTGAAATTCCCCTTGCATTCTCACTTTACTGAATAACCCTGTAAAATACAATGAAACTAACATCTTAGAATCACAGTAACATATTACTGCAAAACTACAGAAGAAAAAGCAATATATTGAACACTGAAAAAAATGTGGCTGTGGAACATGGAAAGTTTAGCAGTGTTGTCGGAAAGTACTCATTCGTAGGACAATTGTTCCTTAAAGGACAACTGTCACCTCAACACTATTTTTACCATTATTATCCTTTAAGTTTTTAAAATAAATACGTATATTGATACTGATTTTAACATATTTTAATATCTTAATATAATCTTTGCTATATCTATAATCTTTTATTTAAAAGGGACACTGTAGGCACCCAGACCACTTCAGCTCATTGAAGTAGTCTGGGTGCTGTGACCCTTTTGCACTTAGTACTGCAATGTTAAACATTGCAGTTCCAGAGAGCTGAGGGCACATCCGGAGGAGTCCAAACGGACTTTTAGTCAGTTATCTGTTTTCCCCATAGGAAAGCATTGAATAATGCTTTTTTATCGGGAGGTCTAATGCGTGCGGCCATTGCCGCACATGCGCATTAGGTCTCCCCCGCCGGTTTATGTTGGGGTGGAGGAGCCTAGGTAAGTGGCTGAAGGGGGGGGGGGCACTAAATGTTTAACTGGCACTATAGGATCTTTTTAATTTATTTTCTATTTAAAATTTTGAAGAAATCACTTGCCAACCGTTCCCACTAGTTCATAATGAATGGCCATCTTCTTGCTCCCTCAGTCGGATGTTATCTGACCCTATGCTTGCTGTTTTGCAACCATTTTCCTGAATCCTTCTCTGGCATACAGCCTTAGTGAATATGTTAGAGGCAGAAAAAGTGCTACATTTTGAAAAGCAACAGTGAACACTGGGTCAGGTAACTGACAATCTGAACAAGGTGGGATGTGGAAGGCAGGCAAATTTTTAAAAAAACATGAATAAAAAATAAATTATACTGTATATGTTTAGAGATTATGATAAGATCAGTTTTCCTATAATGGCTCTAAGACTTCTTTGAGAAACACTGCTTTTAGTACATATTGCTCCACCTGTGGCCAAAATGGTTGTGGCAGATTCTCCAATCTGCGCTGCAGATTTAAGCTCAAGGTTACTTTTGACATTGAAGACTTAAAAGCTGTCATGTCTTGGGTCAGCCTGACTGAGCTTTGGTTCCTGTGAATACATTTATTAAGCTGCATCTTCTCTGAAATATTATACGTTATGTTATATGGGACAGGGAGGGCATTTCTTTCAACCAGTGATACTTGGGAGAGTGTTTTCAATCCCGGGTCTTGAAGCCCCCATTGCCCGATTAATCTTTTCTATGGACTATTCACAAATTATGTACGTTCTAAAGGTATCCTTCTCTGATTTATCTGATTAATAAAGCTGATTTTTCCTTATGCGTAGGTCAGGAAAGTCTGGAACCCCCTTCAAATATTTGGATCACTAAAACTGGCAACAACTTTACTGTGACTTGGGACTGGAGCAGTTTCAGAAATGAGGATGAATCTGATGTGACCTTCTCTGTCTTTTCCCTGAAGTATGTTTGTTTTTACAGCTATTTGTCATGGTTTTTAAATGCTTAACCAAAACAATATGATGCCTCCCTGATGTGTTTTGGGGTGTCCAGTCATCCCCATATGCAAGCTCTTTAAAATTACAATTTAGGATGGAGGTAACCTTAATCTGTTTTATCAATTAAATACATCTCTTAGTATACACAGTTTACTGTTGTGAGCTTTGTTAGAGAATTGTTGAAACCCTAATGGGTAATCCTAGTCACTCCATTTTTATTCGAGTACTGACAATATTTCATGAATTATGGTTCAGTGTGGGTTTGTGGAATATGTAGTTCAGAAGCAATTCCATTCATAAGGAAGCATGAATTAAAATGCTGCCCAAACTACATGGCTGATAGCTTACTTTTTTAGCGTCACATGATGCATCAGCTTCTCCAAAGAAAACCAGCGGTCGGTTTGTAGCTGCCAAGACTTACAAATACCTGCAGTTATTATCTGGGATACCGGGACAGGGAAGCTTGTGTCATTATTTATGTAATCATACTTTGTGAAGTGTGACCCTGGAATATCCTTTAACCCTGAGAGGTGAGGTATGAACTAAATGTTATGTTGTGCTAATCCCGTTAAAAAAAATAATAATAATTTATTAATTTTTAAATTGTGAATTGCTCAGCTTTGAGTTTATGGCTAATTCCTAAAGGGACACTCTAAGCACCAAAGCAACTTTAGCTTAATGAAGCCGTTTTGGTGTATAGATCATGCCCCTGCCAGTCTCACTGCTCAATTCTCTGCCATTAAGGAGTCAAATCACTTTGTTTATGCAGCTCTAGTGACACCTCCACTGCCTATGACTCTCACAGTCAGTCCCTCTGCACGCTTTCTTAAAAAGATGTATGCTTTTAAAACTTGGGCAAGCCAATCTAGGAGGCGCAGGTTAGGGGAGTAAACATAGGCTAGTGCAGTATTCTTATCTTTTTAACTCTCATCTTAAAGCACCCATACAAACAACTTCAATCTCTGCTTTTAAGCTTAAAGGGACACTATAGTCACCAGAACAACTACAGTTTATTGAATTTGTTCTGGTGAGTAGAATCATTCCATTCAGGCTTTTTGCTGTAAACACTGTCTTTTCAGAGAAAATGCAGTGTTTACATTACAGCCTAGTGATAACTTCACTGGCAACTCCTCAGATGGCTGTTAGAGATCCTTCCTGGGTCATGGCTGCCTAAAATGCATCCAAACATTCAGTGTCTCCTCCTTCTGCATGCAGACTGAACTTTCCTCATAGGGATACATTGATTCAATTCATCTCTATGAGGAGATGCTGATTGGCCAGGGCTGTGTTTGAATTGTGCTGGCTCTGCATCCTTGTCAGTCTCCGCCAATCCTATGGGGTAACACTGTAATTGGATCAGGCTATCACTTCTGATGATGTAGGCAGGTCTATAGGAAACCGAGCCAGAGCTAGCAGCTTCAGGCTTGAATACAAAGTACCATGTGCACACCGAATGCACATCTTGGACTGGCCAAGCTCTCCTACACAGAGACCGATCCAAGCTGAATTGCTGGAAATAGTTCTCTGGGAGGCAAGAGGGGCTCAGGGGAGCTAGATGGTGGTGTTAACACTATAGGGTCAGGAATACATGTTTGTGTTCCTGACCCTATAGTGCTCCTTTAAGACTCACAGTATTACCTGTGGTTTATCACACAAAACACGAGGGGCTTGCTCTCCAAGTTCTGATCCTTATGCTTGATGACCCTTTGGGTGCCAACCTTTCTCTTCCCAATGTGTTTTGTCATAACTATAACTTCCTTGGAGGACCAATGATTCATTTGTCTCCTAAGGCAGCTGAAGAGTTTGTATTGCATTACAAAATAATTGTAGATGCATCCTTGAATTTGTCGCATTAAATCTTGCATTTCAGGTTTGGTAGACTCCCAGGCATACAGTGGAGAAATGTTCCTGGATGCCTTCACATTAAGGTCCAACGTTGCGACATCAGTTTGAATCCACTCTTGCATTATAGCGTGCGTGTCCGATCTGAAATTGCTGGAAAACATTCTGCATGGTCGAGCATAGTGCCGTTTTTACCAAGCTCAATTGGTAAGCAAGCTGTATTTGTTTTTAAAACCATGTTCATAATGCGATTCTCGTGCTGTTAATGTTTGTGCTGGTTTTTTTTTTTTTGGTTTTTTTTTGTTCAGAACAAGGAAACAAGAAGAAAATAAGGAGAAATTAAAAAATCCTTTGTAAAAATGCAGCATGATAACTAAAACATAACTTTTATTAAGAATTCTTAACCTGTCTGAAAAAAATGGATGCTAAATAGACAAACTTAAAGACTTGGTAATAGCAGCTGCAAGTGGAAATGACAAGGGATATATTGACTAAATATTGCAATTTTCAAAAACTGCCAAGATTCAGAAATTGTTTAAAAATTAATAATAATAAATAAATCTGTTGTATGTTGTATGTATTGTTGGAAATAGTGCTCTGGGCTTAGTATAAACTGTTGTCTTCAATTTTTTTTATTGTTCTTTACTACATTTTGTATGCAAACCTTCAGGCAGGCTGGGATGATCAAACCTGGGTGATCCGGGGGATATTCTTTCTGTGTCATGGTACTCTGTAAATAAGGAGTTTAATTGAGAAATAGTCTTTTGCATGATGGCAGTGGCAGCAGCAGCAGACATTCAAGAATCGACAAACCCCAGTTCCTAGGTCAACAAAGCCATAAGAAATTGGTTACGGTTACCCCTGATTTACTGGCAGAAAACTATTATAGTGGTATTGTACCATCAGTGCATGAGAGCTATTTGTGGCTGGGTAAGCCAAACACTGACAAGTACTTCGATACCTCTTTATCTCCATGTCTTCCCTCTAATACCAGTCAGCTAAGGTGAGAAGCATTGCAGGACTATGACTGGTGGGTTCATATATAAATATTGTGCATTTGCTGTGTCTCCTGACGTGTTGTAGATACCGTATGAGTGTTATGGATGCTGTATGGTGTAGCATGTGTTGTGGATATCCTATAAACCAGATTTATTTAAAAAAAAATTTTTTTATGGATGTCAGGTGGGTGCTGTCTATGTTCTAGGTGTAATGATGATGATTTGGTGACAATGTTTTAAACTTGTTATAGCATTAAGATATCCTAAAGTCATGAATCTGTAATCCTTCTCATCTGACCATGGCCTATATACAGTGCAGTTTTAATGGTGATTAATGACCTCTACATCAAGCCTAATAATACCCCAGCAGCCTCTGTGAAATATATATATAATATAACAGTAAGCGATTACTTACCATATTGTGTTCCAATATCAACACCATCATGTTTTATGCATTTATCCAGAAAGGCAGATTCATTTTATTTTCTTCTGTTTCAAATATTATCTTAGCAAAAGAAGATTCTCCATTTGCTGTATCTGTGACATTAATTCATGGAAGGGTAATTGTCACTGTGTCCGATCCATCAAGTGTCAACAAATCACTGGCTGACAATGAGGACATCATTTATAACCTGAGCATCTGGAAAATGAATTCCAAAGAAGTGAAGGTTAGCTTCTGATCTGGCGCTTATTTTGTCATATTGATAGCACAGTTACTTACTGGCATAGGTTTGTACTTTCGAAAAATGACAATTCTGGGTAACTTTATATGATTGATCTGGGCTTTCCTGTGCCATTCTGTGAAGTATAACCACAGATAATTGTGTGATTATATATAGAGCCACGTAGGCCCAACACTCTCTCACGGTCCTGTACTTGCCTGGGTGCTTACTTCAGCCAAAATGTACATAATCCAAGAAAAGAGCACTTGCAGGACTCTGTAGATGATTTTCCAATTCTTTTATTGTGCAATATAAATACACCTCATTTGTGTCAACGTTTCAGTCCTTCTACAGAGTCCTGTGAGTGAACTTTTTTTTTTCTTTTTTTTGGAAATGATTTTTTTTGTATTTTATTTTAAGCATAGCTGTCACCCCCCCCCAATAGGTTTTGGTTTTTCATAAAGATAAAATCTTTCTGAAACACTCACTTTGACTGTGTTTGGATTTCAATGAAATTCCAAAGCAGTCAAAAGGTTCCATAATACAAAGTAGCAGAGTAAGAAATAATGAAGAAAATTGCTTGACGTTGTATTTTCTGGATCCTCTCTCACCAACCGAAAAGTCAGTGTGGGGAAGGGACCGTTCTCCAGATTGGATTTACTTTATATTTCCTGTTAAGGAAGGACCGAACTGAGGGGGCAGGGAAAGACAAAAACTGAAATTGGGAAGCAATACAGATATTACGTATGTAATCGAGAATCACGAAGTGATCGAGAATCACGAAACGCGTAAGGCGGCATCTGCAAACTAACACACATCGGTCCCGAGAGTGAGCATCTTTGACACGCATACTGAGCCGCAGTGGAACGCACGCGGCTAGAAACCAGTGGTACACAGCACGAGGAAAATCCCATTCACTTCTGTCCGGCCGGCGAGAAAGTAATCTCAATATCTTTTGGGCTCGAGGTCTGTCAAACCTGGTACTGGTGCTATCTTATTTGCTACTCTTTTTTGGGACTTTTATTGATAGCTAGTGTATGAGTGTTATGGATGCTGTATGGTGTAGCATGTGTTGTGGATATCCTATAAACCAGATTTATTTTAAAAACAATTTTTTTATGGATGTCAGGTGGGTGCTGTCTATGTTCTAGGTGTAATGATGATGATTTGTAGCATTTTTTGTCATTTATTAATAAACTTGGAAAAGTATGTCTGCTGCATCAGATTTTAACCCTTGGAGGGGTGCTATTCTATTTCATTTTATTTTACCTATATTACCCAGCCATATATATCGGATTCATAATTTATTGAAACCTATATTAGATTATTTTCAGCAGTTCATAGACTCTGCCTTCCTTATTTAATAGGTGGTGATGACATGATCAGCTGACACATTTGTATTTGAATAAGAGAGTAGATATTAACTTTCATTTATTGTGAAGTGCTCTATACATTCTCATTTCCACTGAATCCTGTGTATTTTTAATTGATTTATTTCAATTAGTGTGTTTCATTCAGATATTACGTAAGGGTTCTGCTGAAACGCCCCAGTTTCTACAAAATGCATAAAGGGATCGACACACACAGAAATGTTAAGGGCTACTTAAAATGGGAACTTAATTACATAATATAACCGTATGGCTGAGAATGACTGACCTAAAGAGTTAGGAATCTTGAGAAATCAACCAAAACTGCAGTCTAATAAAATATAAACTAAATCTCCTGACCGAAAATGATGCAGGCAGGAAGAGCGCACCATTTTCCAAACCAGTGAGCGTTGGCTGGGATAATTTACAGTCAGACCCAAGGTGTACAAAAATGGCTGACAGAAATTGGGAAAGGGAATAAATAGGCAAATGATTATTTAATTTTTAAAGTTTTTTTTATTTTCTCTCAAAAATGACCGTATATAAGAATAAAAACTAAATGGTATAAAATAAAAATTATATTAAGATATAGAGATGTATATTTTTATGTTATTTAAAAAAAAAAAATTACTGTTATCCTTTAAGACTTTATTAACAAGTCAGTAAACATGAAATTAAATTTATCGTGGTTCTTAAAATGGTAATAAACCAATAATAATCCGTTCAGGGATTGGCTGAATACAATGGCAGAATTTCATTGGCCAGAGGTTTAAATATCAAATAAGGCATCTCAGACTCTGGACTACCCAAACTAAAACAGCCTTATTCTCATAGTAGATCATTCATTTTTATTTTTACATCACTTTTTATGAGATCCACCTTTCAATCTAATGTTGAAACGTATAACGGTTTGCTTTGTGTCACCTTTCAGACACATGAGTTTTCTGATCCTGAATTTGAAGTTAAGAACCTTGCTCCTAGCACTCCCTATTGTTTGAAAGTACAGTTGATTGACACCGAGCGAAGTACATCAGGACCTTTCAGCCATGAGAAATGTTTTGAAACAGAAAAATGTAAGTTGTAATGTCTCGTTCACCTTTAATACCTAAAGTGGCTGTGTAGGAAATGGCCACTATATAAGAGACGTTTTATGGGAGGGGAGAATTATTAAATGCTGTGAACAGAACAGCATTGTAAAGTTATAAAAGCAGAACAATTATCAATGCAACGTTCTTTCCATTTTCATTGGTTTCTATTGTGACCGACTCAAAATTTAGCAAAACCTTGTTTTTATAAATCTCCTGCAAAGTATTTCAATTGAATTTCTTGCATGCTTTTTTTGTTATTATGAGTATGAAAATCTGTGTTAGGTCTGCTGGTAAAATAACCTGTAAAACTAAAGTTGCACAGTTGAAATATTATCCGTCTTTAGATGGACCTTTTTATTTATGGCACCAGTAATAATGACCAATATTGGAGTCTTCACAAGCAAAGTGCAGGTTGGCCCAAAAGTAGGTATACAGTATATGTAACTTGCATTCTAAGTTAGCACACTCTAAATACAGCTATTAAACGTCCATGCTTTTCCAGCTCCATACAGGTTCCTTCTCCTGCAGGTAGTTACTGCAACATAGTTTTTGCGGGAAATAGGCTATTTGGCGAAGGGGAAAAGGCTTCTCTTTGGCCGTCAGCCAGTACTGGGTCTTGTAGCACTGCCTGCACTCATCCCCGGGATCTTCAAATGTGCACAGAAGACATACAAGCTTCAGCTCAATGAAGTGGTCTGGGTGCCAGGTCCCTCAGGTTTTAACGTTTCAAATGTAAACATAACCGTTTCAGAGAAACTGCTATGTTTACATTGCAGGGTTAATCCAGCCTCTAGTGGCTGTCTTGCTGACAGCCGATAGGGGCGCTTCTGTGACGCTGGATGTGATTTTCGTGGACTGTTTAAATGCACGCGTGGCACTTGCCGCACATTCTCATTCCGCTCCACTTGGGAGCTGACATCGGCGGGGGAGGAGAGGTCACCAGCGACAAGGGAGCCCGGCGCTGGATAAAGGTAAGTGGCTGAAGGGGTTTTAACCCCTTCAGTGCCAAGGGATGGGGGCCCTGAGTGTAGGGGCACCCTTAGGGCACTACAGTGTCAGGAAAACGTTTTTGTTTTCTTCACACAATAGTGATCCTTTAAGTTGTCTAAGTAAAAAAAAAAAAAAAAAGTATTGCTTGTTAATACTCTGCACAATGATAAGCAAATGATCAAATCCTATTGCCCCAAGTGGTTGTAAAAACACCACTGTCCTTTCTAATGGGGAAATATAGACTAATATGCTCGGTAGATTTTGTATTTAACCTTTATATGATTTCATAACTTTATAGTACTACATGTGTTACTCTTCAGCTTACATCCAACTCCCATGATCCCCATTTTGGAAAAGACAAAATGATGCCTATTCCTGAGACAATGTATTCTGTTTTACAGCACAAATTGTTATGTTGAGAATGCAGGCAGTGGACACAAACTTCACATTAAAATGGGACTACAATTGCAAAGAGGATCCAAATGTCACTTTTTCAGTACTAATCAGGCGGTAAGTTTAAATGCTCCGTTTTTGTGCAGATGTTGCCAACGTCTTCGGAATGCAATCCAGTATAGATAGGGCTTATGAATGTCTGGCTTCTAAAATACAGGGTGAGTCTACAATTCTCTCCCACCACCCCCATACACATAATATTAAATTGATTTCAACATTGGTATTAAAGAGACACACTAAACATAACTACTATAGTGGCTGTGGTGCCAGCATGTCCCTGTAACTGTCTTCTGGTTATAAGCTAATTTGGTGCTTAACACAGACTAAGTGTACCCAAGGGGCCTGCAACCCAGACCTTCACTCGGCATATTGCTGTTGTGGAAGTTATACTTCTGCGATAGCAATATAGTTTTTTTCCAAATAGGAACTGTATAGGAGCGTGCAAGGCTCAGTCTGTGCAGTGCTGTGGAATAGCAGCTGAGGGAGGAGCTATATTTGTTTCTATCTATACTATATATAGTCTCTAATACTTGGTAACGCTCATTCTATTCCTTGGTTGAGCCCGGCAGCTTGACAGAATTGATTTTGTAACTGGTCACACATACTCAGGCACAGCTTTGTTTTGTCAAAAAATTGCAATAACATATTTGTTGTGTCTTTTTTTTTTAAGAATTTACACACAGTTGGGGCTTATTTCTAAACTGCTTAGAAGCAAATTAAAATTGAACTGACAAATTTCATCCAAAATTAACTGATTAGACAAAATTCTCTAACTCCGCCATAATTGCAGCTTGGTTAATTTAGCCTAACTTTTGATACTTTCAAACATGTCTTAGTTTGGTAATTGTAAGCTTGATTATTAGTGTATTTTATTTAGGCTGTTAGTTTCAGATAGTGTAAAACAAATTTACTTTGAGGTGAGTGCTGTGATATATATAGTGAGTGTAAACCAGCGCTATGTATGCACTATACATGCCAAACTGAATCCCTCAAATTCATGCAGAAAAAAAACCATTCTATTACTCCTTTCTGCACTGTATAGGAGCATGCAAGGCTTAGTCTGTGCAGTGCTGCGAAAAACAGCTGAGGGAAGAGGTATATTTATTTCTATATATAGTATATAGTTTTTAATACTTTGTGACACTCATTTTATTCAATAAATGGGAAGACTGAAATTATGAAAATGTTGCAATTTGTCTGTTTCCCTAAATTGTAATTTATGAACAAATTTGCTGATTTGTCTTTAAGTGGAACAGTCACATCCCCCTCGAGACAAAGACCAGATGAGATGTCCACTTACCATGTGGCACACTAAAGAAGAGGAAGCCTTTCTGTACCGTCAACTCCTTCTCTGGCTTATTATTTTGTTTCTGGCATCTAATTCTGCCATTTGCCATGTCACAGGTGTTTACTTAAAAAAAAATGAGTCAGAAAGATTCTACAAGACCACAGGATCCCCTGTGGTTAATCTTGCTCGTGTACATTGAGATACTGTAGACCTCTATTGCACATCTTGCAGGGAGATACTGAACGATGGCTGATGGGAGATGACATAAAATGTCACTAATAAATCACCCTTTGTTCTCTGGACAAGAAAATGTTTAGCAATAAGTATTCCTTCCTTTGCCTTGAGGAATCTTGTTCATGCAGCCTTTGAGGATTCATAAACATTCCATCTTGATAAAATACTCGAGTTACAATGCATTTTAAACTTCTTGTCAGCTATGCTTCAAATGAAATGGCCATTTAAAAAAAAAAAAAAAATTCTTATCCTTTCACAAAAAGAGCAGTTTTCTGGAGCACGTTGCACATTTAAACATTGTATTGTGGTTTTTGTTTATTTCTATTACATGTGGCTTTGTGACTATATATATATATATATATATATATATATATATATATATATATATATATATATATATATATATATATATATATATATATATATATATATATAAAATTTTTTTTTTTTTTTTTTTACCCCATGTTAGTTCAGACACCTGGTCTGTATATGATGGATGTGCAAATATATCCCAGATGGAATGTCAGGTATTGGGCTTAAACATGTTTGGAAACTATGACTTCTGCGTATCAGTAGATGATGGGCAAGGAAATCGGAATTTATCCAATACCTTGACATTTAAACCCTTACATCACAGTAAGTTAATATCTTTTGTCTTCCTTTAATATATTAGATATGTGACCTAGAAGTCCAACAATCTGTATAAGGAGATAGCAGGATGGGAAGGGAAAGGGATTTGTCGCCATCTGTCTAATGAATGGATTATACACCGGTAACTTTTTCTGGAATGGCTTCGTCCACTTAACCCTTTTCATCAACCTTACAATAACATAATGATAGTATAGTGCTTATTGAGTGAGCAAGTGAATAATAATATAAATCACACTTAATACCTTACAAGTGTGTTATATGGGTCCTTTAGGTCCCCCCAATGTCCTTAAAAATAAATGAGCTGGGGGACCAAATAGACCCATATATAACACTTTTAAGGTATTAAGTGTGATTTAGATTATACATTTGCTCATTCAATGACTGCTTCACTATCATTGTGTTTATTATATTTTTACTGTGTGGTGTGTTTTATTTTTGCAGAACTGTCACTTCAGTTACTGTTTCTTGTATCCTCACCCTAGCAGATTCTATTAAAACCGTGATTGACGCCTAAAACAAGGGGTTGCTGGGATCGTATTATCTAACCTCCCAGGCTTGACTCTTGTTGGGCTCTGTGTGTTTGGATGGGGTACATTGAGTATGCTGCGAACTGCGTCTGCAGTTATCTGTTCCTTTCCCCCTTTCATTTTCCCTGGTGTGAAATTATTTGGTTTAGTTTGTTGGACTGAGGTAGAAGAGTAGCGTTTGCAAGGGGTACAAACGAGATCTGTAGCTTTTGCAAGCTGGCTTTAGGTATCCTCCCAATGGAAATAATGCATAAGTAAATGCATGCATGTTTTCTTTTGGGGTAAATCTGCTAAACAGTGATTTTGTGTTTTATATATTTTTATTTGGATAGTGGGGTGTATATTTAAAGCCTGGTCTCTCATCTGACATTCTGCATGTCATGTGTACTTTACTTTTTCTCTGATAGCCCTGAGCGAGAAAGGCGAATGTAGCACATATATATTATATATATATATTATATATATATATTATATATATATATATATATATATATATATATTTATTTTTTTTAAATGTTTTTTTATTTATTATTACATTTTAGGGAACTAACATGGATTTTTTTTTTTCTGCATTTGTTGCAGCTTTATATATGATGGCACTGCATATGCTAGTGTGCCTATTATTCATTAATTCTCTATATTATAAAATTATGCATTTTGTTAACACTGCATATAAAGAATAGAATTAAAGTGGCAGTAAGAAAAATCAAGAATAAACACTATGCTTTTAAATTGGATAAAGAATGTGGCAGACTCTACCGTCTTTTGTTTACAATGATCAGACTCTTTATAAATAATTAAACTTAGAAATAAACGTCATTCTCTTCCTTTCTAAAAGCTGTGATTGGTCCCCCAACTCGTTTGATGCTGAACTTGACACATTACACTCTTAAAATGATGGCATCTGATCCAGAAGGATTTAGTAAAGAAGAGCTTCGTTGGGCATGTAATCCATCGTACCACGCTGTACTGTGGAAAAAATCATCAGACACACAGGTAACTTGACTTAAGACTGCAGTGTTCATCATTTTCAATTATCAGAACTTTCATATATGTATTAGCTGGGAATTCCACTATCCCAGTGTACAGATTGGCAGGGTCCTTCACTTAAGTGATAATTCAAGGTGAATTTTAAACCCTTAAGGACGGAGGCAAGTTCAAACAATACGTAAACCAAACCTGGATTTTAAGCTATATGTCTATTCAACCATAATTTACCACTTTCACCCACACTTATTATATATCATTTTGTTCAGAAGAAACAGAGCTTTAATTACGCATCAAATATTTATTTATGAAACATAGAATGTGACGGCAGATAAGAACCATTCTGCCCATCTAGTCTGCCCAGTATTTTTAATTAGTCCCTGGCATTATCTTAAGTCTAGGATAGCCTTATGCCTATCCCACGCATGCTTAAACTCCTTCACTGTGTTAACCTCTACCACTTCAGCTGGAAGGCTATTCCATGCATCCACTACCCTCTCAGTAAAGTAATACTTCCTGATATTCTTTTTAAACCTTTGCCCCTCTAATTTAAGACACTGTCCTGTGGTAGTTTTTCTTCTTTTAAATATAGTCTCCTCCTTTACTGTGTTGATTCTCTTTATGTATTTAAAGGTTTCTATCATATCCCCAGTCTTGTCTTTCCTCCAAGCTATACATGTTAAGAATCTTTTATCCTTTACTGGAAAGTTGTGTTTTTTTTTTTTTAAATCCTGCAATCTATGAACCAGTTTAAAAGAGAACCTCCACCCCCCACCCCTGTACAGGGTTTATGGCATCTTATTTGCAAAAGTAACTCATGGTATCTAAAATGAGGTATGTCCAGTCTGCCCAAAGTTGGGATTTATTTTTGTATTTTTCACACAAAAACTGCAATTTCACTTATATTACTGTTATGTGTTACTGTACTAAATCATTCATATTTGTGTTCAGTGATGTCTCACAAGTAAAACAGTACCTCCCCTGTAAAGGTTTTATGAGGTTCAAAAGTCAAATTTAGTGCTTTCTCATTTAAATTTACCAGATTAGTTTGCTGGGCTTATGTTGCCTTTGAGACCATATGGCACCCATGACTCTGACACCGGTTTACCATTTGGATGGTGTCAAGGCACAGATCTGGAAGGAGAGTGGGCCTTTGCTCATCACCTGCGCAATAGTTTCTGCCATTCATCACCTGCGCAATAGCGGCCCAACGGTGAAGCATAGGAAATGAGGGAAAGCTGAACACCGCAAAATACAGAGATTTCCTTATTTAAAACCTGGTCCCAAAAGCTTAGGATTTCAGACTGGGCCAAAGGTTCACCGTCCAACAGGACAATGCAAGATTAGCTCAGGGTCAACTCTATGAATGTCCTTGAGTGGCCCAACCAGAGCCCAGACTTGTACCAATCGAACATCTCTGAAGAGACCTGAAAATAGCTGTCCACCAATGTCCCCATCCAAATTGGCAGAGCATGAGTGGATTTGCAGAGACGAATGGCAGAAACTACCAAAATTCAGGTGTTCAAATCTGCAAAGGGTGATTCAACGAAGTACTTGAGTTGAATTAAGGCTTTTAATATGTTTGTCAATGTTATAATTCAGTTTATGTTTTAATACATTTGCGATGTCAAAAATCTGTTTTTTTCTAACCTTGTCATTGTGTGGTATTAAGTGTTGATTGATGTGGGAGAAAAATAAAACATTTTGATGAAAAATGTATTTGATAAATGTGCTTCCTTACACTGTATTATCTATATTTCAGAAAGAAAGTTTTCAAGAAAAAATGCCATTTTTTACAGTGGAAAACTTGGAACCATCGACCGTCTATTGTGTTACAATGCGAGTTGTTTGTTCCTATGACAATAGAACAGGCTTGTTCAGTGAGCCCCACTGTATTAAAACAGACCCTGGTAAGAATTGTATGATTTTAGGCCCAGGTTGTCATGTTGCAGTTTTCCATATGTATGCCAGACTTTTAGGATGATTGTTCCTTGCCAATGACTTAAATTATGATTTTGTTTAAAATATGACTGCAAAGTTAGGAGTAAACAATATTTTTATTGCTTTTTAGGTATAAATAAAAATGTAAATTTAAAGAATTCCCATTTTTAATGGGGAGGAAGTTATACACAATGTCACTCATGAATATAAAATGGTCAAACTACCCCAATGAAATGTATTCGTAGGGAATCTGCTGGTGTTTTTGTAATGCAGGTTACATCTCCATTCTGGGGTGGGAATGATTTGTTGTCATTGGTTGTAAAAGTCTTTCTGTAGACCTGCCGAACGATACTTGCGCAGTGCTGAACTATTTCAGTGAGTGGACAGTTTGTCCCTACCGAAAACCCAAACTAGAAGCAACTGACCCCTCCGACTGTACTGTAAAGCTTTCTAGCCTTGGGTGACCTTTCCACTTCTCTCGAGTATCTCGCAGTAGGGCAGCAAGGCAATATCCAGTTAATTGGTGCAGGCAATCCTTTAAAAACTAGTAATGCAACACATCTCTCTAATATTAAGCTGACATTCTCATTGCATGGTAGAACATTAATAAAAAAAACCAAAAAAAACATTGGGGTCTCGACACTAAATTCTAAATTTGAAAAAGCAAAATTGGCTTTCATTCGGCTCACTTCTATAGTATCCAGTTAATAACCACATTCTTCTAAGATTCACCATATTCATCATCAACCAAATAACCGAAGTGGATCGAATGGATCTCTGTTTCACAGTACACCTAGTTTAGTACAGTAAGATTTATTTTACTCTAGCTTCACAGAATTGCAGCCAAATGTCACTGCTGTAAGAAAAGACTAGCTTTATAGGATTACAGATTTAAGAAGGGTTTTGGGTACCATTAGGGTGACTTAGCTAACATCTGTGACAAGCTATTAACTACTGTTGGATATTTGGTCTTTAGTTGAAAGCTCGACTGGGAAATCTGACAGAGGTTGGTGGATTCACTTGTCAATGGCTATATACGCTTTACATTTTCTTTCCCCTCAAAACAGAGAAAAAAATGACATACTAATAATGTATAAATAATGTTTTCATTATGACTTGACGTTTCCCAGTTTTGCATATTGGAAATCAACTATTTTATACTTTATTTGATTGACTGTAATTTCAAAAAAAATAAACAAACATGTTAATAGATATTCATGTCCTGTTGACTTTGTTTTATATTTTATTTTAAAGAAGCTATTCGTTTTATCTCTTTGTTTCTTAGATTACTCGGCTTTTTGGAAAACGTGGGGAATATTGTTTATCCTCCTGGGATTAATAATCATTTCAGTCTTAGTTTACGTCTGTATTTGCCCTTTCCAAAGATACATTAAGTATACATTCTACCCTTCGGGCAAACTTCCTTCGTGCATTGGAAAGGTGAGTAGACTTTGGAAATCACAAAAGTCTGATAAATGCACACAATCACCCATCACCACTTTTATAGCTATCAGGGAATTCCAAAACCTTCTGCATTTTAAATCGCTTTATATATTAAGATATTTCTGTTGGATTTTATTTTTCAGTTCTTTAACAATTATTAATGCTTTGTTAAAAAATTTAAGTATAGACCCCACCAAGGAAAATGTGTATAAACTACCAGTGAGAAACAGGGGGGGAAACGTTCTCAATTTGTCTGTAAATTCCTCCCAAAACCTTGACAGCTCAAATATTTAAAGGGACACTGTAGGCACCCAGACCACTTCAGCCCATTGAAGTGATCTTGGTGCCATCACCCTTAACCTTGCAAGTGTAATTATTGCAGTTTTTATAAACTGCAATAATTACCTTGCAGGGGTTAAGTCCTCCTCTAGTGGCTGTCTACTAGAGGGACTTCCGGGTTCCTAGACAACTCTTGGTCATCTAAATGACCCTGGACATCCTCACGCTATGCATGAGGACCTCCACCGTCGCCAGAATCCCTATAGGAAAGCATTGATTAATGCTTTCCTTTGGGTAGATCTAATGCGCACGTGCTGCCATTGCCGCGCATGCGCTTTAGGTCTCCCCGCCATGTTGGCTCGGAATGAGCGTTGGCAGAGCCTTACCCAGCGCGGAGGGACATCGGGCTGGATTCAGGTAAGTGACTGAAGAGGTTTTAACCCCTTCAGCGATGTGGGATGGGGGGGCAGGAGGGAGGGGGGCACTCCAGGATTCTACAGTGCCAGACAAAGGGGTTTGTTTTCCTGGCACTAGAGAATCCCTTTAAGAACAGACGTAAAATAAGAAGGAAAAAAAAAAAGGGGGCATAAAAAGTCCACGCATTTAAAGGGCTACTCTACTGCCACAATACAAAATAAATAAAAATAACTGTTTAGTAGCTATACGCTAAAGTATAACTTGCATGCATTTTATTTCATTGGGAGATAAATATAAAACGGCTTGCAAAATGTGCAGTTCTCGTCTGCTGTTTTTGCAAGCCCTCCCCTTCTAACCCCGCCCAGACTTTCTGTGGTTGTCCAATTACAGACATATCTAGCAGTGGCAGCCATCTTGCCTTGATTTGTATGACTAGCATTTTGTGTTAACTCCAGTGATTCGTCCACTTCAGGAGTAGTTGTGAGTACAGGGGTGGTTAATGTAGGGGTATTCAACTCTGCGTTTCCAAGGCTTTTGGACTGCAGCTCCCATAATTCTTCACTAACCTATGCCAAAAATTAAAAGGGGTTATATTTATATGTACAGATAAATTAAATGAGTTTATTTAAAGGGACACTGCACTTCCCAAATACAAAAAACAAAAAAAACTACTGTTTAGTAGGCATACCTTCAATGAAAATATGCATGCATTTATCATTTGTGCTATATCTACCAAGAAGTCGCAGTTTCTTATCTGTAGTCTTGGCAAGCCCTCCCCTTATAACCCTGCCCAGACTTTCTGTGGCTGTCCAATCACAGACATTCCAATGCAGCTCAATGAGACGTCTTTGCATGGCAGGTGCTCTGTGCAATTTCCTGCCTCTTGAGTTTCTCCACTGAGCTATCCAAACCAGTAAGTAACTAGACGGGTTGTCTGACTGTCAGTGTTTAACCATGTTAATCTATAAAAGTTTTAATTTATTTTGAAATCTGCACTTTTTGTAAAAGCAAGCTAAGGTGCCTTAGAGGTCTGCAGTGTCCCTTTAAAGTACAAGATTAGATATCTACAAGTCTTGTTATTATGAAGTGTTACTCACACCACACTTAAGTAAAGGTTCATTAACGGACTACAGATACCGTTTGGCTGAGTAGGCTTAAAGGGAGTTGCAGTCGGCTTTATCTATAGTTTCAAAGATTGCCCAGCCTTGACCGTGAGAGCAGAGTGTTTAGTTTAATGTGCACAGTTTAATCTTGGCTAAATTGTGTATCCTTCTAGGATATCCCTGACTCCCCATTCAACACAACGAACAACGTTTTATTATTGCATGAAGAAGAGATAACAGACATATGCTTCATAACTGCACAAGAAAAAGGGGTCGAAGAGTTTGACAAATATGAAAAGATATCTGATGAGAGCTGTAGAGATTCGGGAAACTATTCGAATGAGGAGGAAACCACTGGAAACACAGATCTGTGCACTAGCTGAACTCTGCTCTACAAATATTAGTCTGCACACCATTACAGTTCATAACTGACTGTAGAAAACCTGTTTTGCATCCCTTTTGAGGATGAATGACTTGCCACACTTGATATGGAGAGGGATTGACATAACCACTAGTACCTAAGGAGGGAAGCATTTTTTTATTATGTATATTTGGACTAGTCTCAGACGAGGCTCTTCCACTGTCTTTGTAAAAAGATCAGCAGTGCTTGTTTTAACCTTGTGACTGCCTAGAGCAGTGTGAAAAACATCCTGCTGTGAGACTGCTCCGAACACCACCAGGTGAATGTTACCCGACCCCTTCTGAATGCACCTAGATGCATACAGTGTCTGTTTTAGAGGGTTTTACTGGAGTGACTTTTTAAGTGGCATTATCACTCACTGGTGGTTATTCATGCACTTACCTTATTTATTTCACTAGGCTATGACCAACGTGTTTGTGTTTTTTTTGTTTGTTTTTTTGGGGGGGAAACTCAACTCACCCCCCAAACCCTCCCTCTAGAACTGTATACTCTAGGTTAATTACTGTGGCCCTCACTCACATATACTGCACATTACTGTTTACATGTTCATTCTGCGGAGCTCTGATGCACAGACAGATCAGTGTGAGAAAGAACTCTGGTCTGCATGAGAGAAAGTCAGACGATGGTTATCATGAATGGAGGCAGACGCCTTGGAATTGCATCACAGCCTTTAAACCGTCAGGGACGGTTACAGGTTTAAAAGGATGATGGTAGCATGTGTCGACAGTCCATGAGAATATTTGAATTATTTAAAAGTAAAGCTGTATGCACAAGTTGGCAAAGAAGGAGGCACTGTCAGCCCCAGGGGATAAGGGGTGCACAGAGCACCCCATTCCTGTCCAAGCAAGCACCTGACTACCAGCACATTGCTGATGGGGGTGGCCTGCTCTGCCGCTGTGCTGTCAGTGGCTGTGGTGTGGACACCAAGAGTTCTGCTGGGATCTCTCTCTCTGCAGTGACTTCTCGTCTCTCTTGAGCACCCTGTAATGATGCTGGAGCTGGGCAATCGGTATAGTCCCACTGGACCACAGGGATGAGGTTTCTCCCAGCTATCCTTGTCAAGATAAGAAAAGGGAGGGAAAAAATGAAAATTGTGTTTGTGTATGAGTCTGTGTGTCTTTTTACCAATATGTGTGTGTATTTGTGAATCTGTGTGTGGTCATGTCTAAATGATTGTGAGTATGTGTGTGTAATTTTTCTAACAAAAGGGTGTTTGGGGGTGGGGAATGCATTGCGAGACAAAAAAAAATTCTAGTTGGGGAGGAGGGGGGGATTTACTTCTGCCCCCATGTTCCTAAGGTACATCTCTGCATATGAACCCTTCATTATGTTTTTTGTGTGTGTTTGTTTTTGTTGGTTTTATAATGAATACAAGGGGTAGGCAGTTTTGAATGGGATTATTCATAGAAATGATATGACAGTGCCACTTTTCTTGTCTGTTCAGTTGAGTTTTGCAAAATGTATCATTCTACCATTGGCTAACCAAAGTCTGGATCACTTAGCACCATGTGCCTGAAGAAATATGCCAGGTTTTTATGCTTTTATAAAAAAAATAATCTTGTAGAAATAACCCCCGACTTTCTGCAGACATATGAGCTTTTTATATTTATAAAGTGCAATATGGTCAACATTTCCGTCACTATTCAGGCATTTTAAAGAAGCTTTGTTACCCAAACGTAACTTTCCTTCTCTTCCTGTCCACAAATCTGTTCTGTTTTTTTTCTCAAAATATATAAGGAAAAGTAGGGGCTACTTTGTCAAGCTGAGGAAAAATACATATGGCAAACAATGAAGCTTAAAGGGACACTAAAGGCACCCAAACATCTTAATCTTAATGACGTGTTCTGGGTGTAGTGCCCCAGTGTCTTTTGAAGGCTGCAGTGTCAAAACATTACCATTCGGTAGTAATAATGTTTATATTGCAGGGTTAAAATGCCTTTTTAGAGGCGCTACTTCTGCTGTGAACGATTAAAACTTTGTTATGGATCAAATGCTCCTCCTAGAGCAGAACTTGACTGGAGCAGCATTTTGCTGCACATGAACCCTAGCCTAGTGATTGACTGAAAACATGAACATTGATCTCAGCCAAAGAGGCAGAGCGACAATGAGGAGAGCAGCACAGCGAGGCCTGAGAAGTCAATAATACATTTCAAATATTCACATAGGTCTCAGGACACTAGAACATTAGGAATACATACTATTCTTAACACTATACAGTAGTGTTCCTTTAAGGCAAGTTCTACATCCTTTGTCAAGTTCAATTTTCTTTGCATACTTACCTGCCCGTAGCTTCTTAATGTTATTATGTTATTATTTATATAGCGCCATCAAATACCGCAGCGCTTTACAATGGGTGGACGAACTGACATGTACTTGTAACCAGACAAGTTGGACATACAGGAACAGAGGGGTTGAGGGCCCTGCCCAAAGAGCTTACATGCTAGAGGGAGTGGGGTAAAATTACACAAAAAGGTAAGGATAGTTAATGTTGAATCGTTTCTAAATGTTCTCAAATTTCTCAATGTTTTATCGTTGGCCAGCGGGTATTAGCGGAGAAAGGGCAGAACAATGCAGAGACGACACGTCTGGCGCTGAAATCAAAGGCAATTTTAAAGGTAAAAACTGGGGACCAGTTGCCAAACCACTAGAGTGGGTACTTTAGGGATTACAAAAAATTGAGTGGCCAAAAAAAGAAACAAACCCTAAGCCTGTCATGGTGAAATCCCTCCTGAGTGTGCGATGGTGTGGGGGTGAAGTTAAAGGTTATACTTACATGAAGCTCTTCCTTGGGTGCTGGTTTTATTTCGTCCACTAGGAGCCTGCATCGCTGCTGTATTCTTGTGCATGCATGATATCGGTACCAAAGCTCGCAACGTGCAAGAACATGCCTATTTGATACATATATCACTAGCCTCGACTGTAGGAATTGACAAAATTATCTGCAGAAGTTACAACTTTTATTAAGTTTAGACAATGTCCTGCTTGAGCAAAAGACTCGCTACTTTGTCTTATCTATTCTGATTGCTTTGGAATTTTTTTTGAAATTTTAGCCCAGTCAACAGGAGAATTACAAGATTTTCTTTCTGAATCCTCTGGTGACAGAGCTGCTTTTAGGCATCTTCAATTATTTATAATTACACCACTATATTCATATTTTTGTACTGAGTAACTAGTCCGCAAATGAGCAGATGTTCTATGGCTGTTGAAAACATGAATTATGAATACAAATTTTGTACTAAATTATGTACATTAGATGGTTTATAATGAATTTTATATTTTCTTGTTATGTTGTAATAACTATTTTATAGTTCTGTTGTTGGGGGTTGTAAATTTTGACCCTGCACCTAAGTGGTGCATTTTAATAATAAATGTAATGGTTCACCGAGATAGCTGTATGCAGTGGCTGCCCACTGTCTCTGTATAGGAGTCTGTATACGGCCTTATTGCTTCTTCATATAATGGACTAGCTATGGCACTAAGTCCTATTACTCTCAGCAATGTTTTTCTTCAATTTCATATTCTGCACATGTCCTGTAACATGACAAATGTTATCAAATTTTGTGTACTGTATGTTGCATTTGTACATCATGTTTGTGCAGCTGTGGACTGAAACCATGGTCTATAAAGGAACAAAATGTGTTTTTTTTTATTTTATTTTTTTAAGGGATACTCCGGGCGCCGTAACCATTTCATCTGAATTAAGTTGTTATGGTATAAAGAGGTTCCCAGGCACCGACTTACCTTAAGGTTATTGAAAAGTCTAACCCCACAGTCTTAAATCTGGTGCCTGTCCGTTTTGCAAAGCTTCTCCTATTGCAGTCCGAGGTTTGAATCGGGAAACCTTGACCTTTGACCCGCTGAGAGTGTTGGCTGAATCTCTCAGCCTATCAGGAGCTTGCCATTCACAAAACTGAGTGAAAAATATGTGTTTATTTTTAACCTCCTTCCATATCAAATTAATCACAGTTAAGTTGTTATGGTGCCTGAAGTGTTCTTTTTAATGCAAATGGCACAGTAGCAAACAAACTGGTGTCTTGTAAAAAGTAATTAGCACGTGTAAATAGATCATGGTGTGTACATTTAGCAATATTGTTAAACAGTATTTGTAAAAATGTGTTTATTAAAACTATACTGGGAGCAGTGTAAAAATAAAATCACAATTTCAACTTATGTTGTTTCGCAGTTAAAAAAATAAATAAAAAATAATATAAATATATATAATATGCTATTTTTATTCCTTGCCAAACAATGATTGTAGATCATCCTCCTTTAGTACTTTGTCTCAATATATATATTTTTTTAAATTGGTTAGAATTTTAGTGAAATTCCAGCACAGGCAATTTGAGAAAGATAGAATGTGATGGCAGATAAGAACCATTCGGCCCATCTAGTCTGCCCAATAAAGATTCTATCTTGATCAAATACTAATTTTGGGTAGTGGTGGTGTTTTGACAGAGTGCTTTATCAAAGAAAGCTTTGTTACAATCAACTTTCCATTTGATTACCAATGAGGTTCTGAATTAAAGAATGTTTAATAAAAAAACTTTGCAAACTTTTTAAACTTAGAAGTAACTCACTGAATAGCATTGAGTAGTAATAACAGAACAGAGATGTTCAGATATTGGAATGCCATGTTTTTTTCATACCTCTTGAGAGCTGAAAAGTGCCAAGGTGGAATAAAAGTACAGAAATTATGAATGAAGTTCTTGAACTATCCTTCATTTTAGCAAGCTAGAGCACTTTTGCCATCCACCCTGTTTTCAGGTTGGCAGTGGATCATGGGAATTGCAGTTTGGAAATAACTGGAGGGTCTGTTGTTTGAGTAGCCAGATTCTAGTCTTACGGTACAATGGATGTGGTACATCTGCTACTTTATGCCGTTTGAATTGCTTGAATCTAAAGTTTGGTAATCAGATTGCGTGATTGAATTATTTCCCTTCTGGTCGGTGGTTGTAATATTATGCAATCCTCATTATTCTTGGGATTTTCTGTACTTTCATTGAGCATTTGTTTTTTTTTTGTTTTTTTTAAGCAAGCAAAAAATATTTCCAGTGCAGTTAAAGGACCACTATAGGCACCCCGACCACTTCAGCTTAATGAAGTGGTCTGGGTGCCAGGTCCACCTAGTATTAACCCTTTCTGCTGTAAACATAGTTTCAGAGAAACTGCTATGTTTACTTTAGGGTTAATCCAGCCTCTAGTGGTTGTCTCATTGACAGCCGCTAGAGGCGCTTCCGCGCTTCTCATTGTGATTTTCACAGTGAGAAGACTCCAGCGTCCACAGGAAAGCATTGAGAATGCTTTCCTATGAGACTGGCTGAACGCGCGCACGGCTCTTGCCGCGCATGCGCATTCAGCCGATGACTGGGGAAAGGAGGAGGAGAGTCTCCAGCACCGAGGGAGCCCGGTGCTGGAGAAAGGAAAGTGTTTAACCCCTTCCTCTCCAGCCTGGCGGGAGTGGCACCCTCAGGGCACTATAGTGCCAGGAAAACGAGTGTTTTTCTGGCACTATAGTGGTCCTTTAACACCAAGAAACAGAAACAGATTTCACATGCTTAACAATATTAAATCTAATTGTTCAGACAAAAGTTAATAATTTAAAGGAACGCTCCAAACAGCTAATGTTAGATTGCTGAATAGTTTTGTATGTGAAGAGTGTGTCCTCTTTTTTTTCATTTTACAATTGGCAGTTTTATGAATTAACCTTGTTACACCACCCTGGGAGAGAATAAGACTACTGTTTTTGTTACTTGCTGGTTACTTAGCGCAAGTGGCAGCAATGGCCCAGAGCACCTTCCTTGAAATTGCTTCTCCTTGAGCTGCACTGTGAAATGTGTGATTGGACGGCCGCAAAAAAAAAAGGGCTCAGGAAGAAGGAGGGGAGGACTTGCAAAGACTGCGGAAAAGAGATCTGCAACTTTTGCACTCTGTTTTTCTATAGACCTCCAATGAAAAATGCATAATTAAAATTTAAACTATTGTATTTGGGCAATAGTGTCCCTTTAAAGGGACACTTTACTTGGTAGGACCACTACAGCTTAATGTATTGGTTCTTTTGTCTGCAGCGTGTCCCTGCAGGCTTGGCATTGTAAATGCTGTCTATTTAGAGAAAAGGCAGTGTTTACTTTGCAGACTAGCAACACCAGTAGTGGCTGTCACTCAGACAGCCTCTAGAGGGACTTCCTGGGTTAGGTCCTGCAGTGTTTGCAGGATCTACATCAGGGGTCAAGTCCTGCGTTAAAAATCAGCCAGATTGTTTTCCTGGCACTGGAGTTTCCCTTTAATCTCAGTCTTAGTGTGTCTGGATATGTTAAATATCACTCCATCAGGAGTAAAGGAGCAGGTGTCAAAATCCAATTCTGGAACGTCAGAAACCTTCTTACAAGACATATGGCAGAAGAGGGTGACAAGCATGGCTAAGAATTAATGCAAGGAATGGTACGAACTAGATGACCAAGACCCTAAAAGCAAAAGCACACAGGAAAAGTCCCACATAGTAGAATATCTAGGCCCAGGAGGATGCGAGAACCTGGAACCCTTCAACAGACCGCAAACTAGTCAGGGAACCATCAAAATTCTGGTGAGCGGAAGAAATGGCAGGTCTATATATATTGATTGTTCGTAAAGAAAAGCGAGTAATTGACCAGTCATAGAAGTTTGGTGAAACACCAAGCTGCAGACCAGAGTCCACAGGGAAGATGTGTAAAATGCCACTTCCTGTCCCTCCAATGAAAATTAAGTAGGTCCCGGGATTCCTCCCCTACTGGTACAGTCTGGTACACTTCCTTCAGATCAAGCTTTGCCAACCAATCTTTCAGGAGGAGTAGGTCTCTTAAGAGTTGTATGCCCAGGGGCAGGCTGGGAAGGGGGGCAGGGAGGCAATTGCCTCCCAGGCCACCCTAAATGCAGGGCCGCATGGGCCGCCAGCTGCCTGCAATAATTTTTTTACGATAGTGTTCAGTGCTCACGCCGGGTTGCCCGTCGGCAATCACTTTGCTCCTCCCCTGCATGTGGCGTGATGTCTCGCACAGAGACGGTCATGCTAGAGTCTCACTGTGACTGCACTGGCAGTCTCCACCTCCCTCCCATGCATGCAGCCAACGCGTGTTGTACACAGCCTCAGGACACAGGTATGTGCAGTTCACCGGCCACCTGCACAGCAACGCTCATCCCACACAGCCTCCCCTCCGGCACTCCCAGCCACCTACACAGTCCCCCCAACATATTGTATATAGCCCCCCTATATATTTTATATAGCCCCCCCAGCACACATACAGTCCCCACTAACATCATTTTTACAACCCCCAGTACATATACAGCCCCCCAGCATGTATACAGTCCCTCCACATATTTTATACAGTCCCCACCAACATATTTTTTACAAACCTAAGTATATATACAGTCCCCAGCCTATTTAAAACAGCCCCCACTCAGCTATACAGTCCCCCGTGCCATATATACATATATACACACACACTAACATAAAACAAACAGGGCATGGAAAAGTCAGTTGTGGTGTGCCGTAACTGACGAGGTAGTAGGCCTGAAATAAGAGGGCAAAAAGATGTAACCAGTTTATTCAGCCTACAATACAACATAGGATATCACATAATCATATTTTTAAATGCTAGGCGCACCTCTTGTACGGGCTGAGGAATGTATCTGGTGTAAGCCGTGGATTTCCATCGGCCTAATATCTCAATGATGTGAGCAGGGATATTCCTTTTAGAAGCGGTAGTAGCTGCTCCTATTCTAAATGAGTGACCTGAATATTCGGCTGGGTTCAAGCCTAACCGAACCAACAACATCCTTACATAAAGCATGAATTTACTCGTAGTGAGTGTATTACCGTGTAAGGCTAGCAGTGGTTGGGTTGGAGCTGAGGGAAAGGAGGAGAGGTATTTGTCCAAAACTTCCACGGGGCACCATTTATTACTAGTGGGGTAATAGGTAATAGTGACCATCTGACCCTTGGCACTAGTTTTCGTATGGTGTAGGGACAGTAAATAGTGATCGTGTGCTTTTACCAGATTTGACCTTGTGATAAAGTTGGGGGTGCTGTAGTTAGAGGTGGTAAATTATTTGGGCCAAAGAAAACCGTAAAAGGCTAAATGGATGGCTGTTTTAAATGACATGATTAGTGTGAGTTTCAAATGGTGAAGTGTCTAACATGTTTGACAGTGACTGGAACAGGAGATCTTGGATGGGTAATCTGGATGGTGTGGGTGTAGGGGTGGAGTCCTTGATACCTTTAAGTATAGCTTTTACTTGGTAAGATGACAGAAAGCGTTTTTATTAGGCCAAGTAGTGAGGATGTGATGTTGAATACCGGTGATGTATAACTTAATGGTGTTGAACGATAGTGTTAGGTGAAGGTGGCAAAAGGAAATGAACACAATCATTGTTTCCATGGAAAATTTGTCTGTGATCTTGAAGTCAAGCAGAAATCTATTAAAGATATGAAAAGCCCTGCCATATGCCTTCCTGGTGTTAACCGAAAGACCCATTTGAGAGAGTTGATTCCCGTGAGTGAGTAGTTCCTTTAGTCCCAAACCATCTCCTGCCACCGCAGCGCCGGAGTTGGTATCACGGTAGCTGTTGGTAGTGCCGCCTGGAACTCCTGAAATCGAGACCGCGATAACTGATCAGCAGCGATATTCAGAACATGTATGCACGTTAAGAAACTGTTTTGCAGCTAGCCACGTGAGAGTCCTCATAAATCGCATGATGGCCAGGGAAGAGGAATGTCCGTTGTTTACAATATGGCATGTTGCCATGTTGGAGAACAAGGAACACAACGTTCCAAGTCCCTGTATAGCCGCCGCACCCACCACCTCAAAACCTCCCCAAAAGGGGGGCAGTGGCTGCAGGGGTCACGCAGAGACCAACGTACCAGTATGAGACTCCAGCTGTCTCAGAGGGGCTTAACCCCAAATATAAACACAAGAACAAAGAAATATGCAGACCGTCTCAATTATATGAATGAAACTTACTGCATTGACTGGAAAAAATATATCTATGTATAGCGCGATGTTCCAAATATAGAACCTGGCTATTAGAAATAATATGGTCAGAGACCCTAATTAAACAAAGTATATACAAGTGAACCTACAATCCTATGCCAGCCCAGGGTAGTATAGATCAAGAGGTAGTAAAAAAGATAACCTCACTCCCCCTTATAATTAAGCTTTATTGTGATCTGCTATAGGGATAGGAGTATACAGTAGCTAAGTCTCTATAATCCATGCATCCTAGGAAGTATCCTGGTCACACTAGAAACATATTAAGAAAAACAGAGAGAGATAAGGACTGAAAATAGAAGTAAAAAAATCAGTCAAAAACAGACTGATAATTAGCATTAATAAAGCCTCTCTCCCTGTAAAGCTAGCTAGATAGGCATAGGAAAGAAAAGAAGAAAACGATATAAAATAAAGTTAAATTAGATGGTGATCATGGTGCTCCAAACACCAGTGCACAGTGCAGAAAAAACGCCCAACGTACGTTTCGGTGCAGAAAGATGCACCTTCGTCAGGGGCCAACAGATAACTGAAGAGAAGCCTCTTAAATACCCCAATTGCCAGGAAGCATGATTACCTTGTAGCCAATGGAGTGTGGGGGTGTATACCTCCCCAGCTGCCTCTAATATCCTGGCTATTCCTCTGTGATTGCTAATGCTCATTCATCTGTATGAAGGGGAAATTCTTTCTCATGTTGCCATGTTGTCTGAGAAGCAACGCACCGTATTCCCCGACCAGCAAGCACCCCATTTAACTGCTGCTGCCACAATTGGGTAGAGCTCAAATAACGTAGAGGTGTCTTTAAACTCGGGAATCTCATTAATTTCCCCAAGCCATATGCCCCGCATCCATTCATTGCCAAAAATTGCGGCAAATCCCGAAGTGGCCGCTGCATCTGTCCATACAGACACCGACCTATCCGTCTATACTGGAACGAAAATACTTTTCCCATTCCTGTGCAGCAAGAATTCCCTCCACATGCGTAGGTCAGCGGTAGCATGAACGTCTAACGCAATGCGCAAGGAATCCGATTGTAATAGGGGAAATAAGCTCAGTAACCGTGATATAAACGCTCTTCCTTGTGGAATAATTTTCATCGCAAAATTAAGTGAACCCAACAGGGATTGCAACTCCTTCCTATCACAAGAACCACCTGCTAGGTAATGGTCCATGGCAGAAAGGATGCGTTCAATCTTCTCCCCAGGGAGGCTAGTCTGCATCCCCAAGAAGTTAATGATCGTATCCGGACCTTCAGTCTTTGTGGGTGAAATAGGTACTCCAAGTTGTGAGAACAGTCGTTTTGTAGAAAGGAGGCTACTGGGAGGTAAGAGGTTATTTTCTACGGACAAAAAAAATCATCTAGGTAATGGATAACGGTAGGGCATTTACATATGTTAAGCAGCATCCAGCACAACGTCTCAGCAAATATATAAAAAATCCTTGGGCTGCTCTTAGACCCAAACGTGAGACGCGTGAAAAAATATGAACCATGCCACAGGGACGGATGGATAGGGAGAAACTTAAAGGACCACTATAGTGCCAGGAAAACATACTCGTTTTCCTGGCACTATAGTGCCCTGAGGGTGCCCCCACCCTCAGGGACCCCCTCCCGCCCGGCTCTGGAAAGGGGTTTAAACGTACCTTTTTCCAGCGCTGGGCGGAGAGCTCTCCTCCTTCTCTCCTCCTCCGTTCTGCCCCGTCGGCTGAATGCGCACGCGCGGCAAGAGCTGCGTGCGCATTCAGCCGGTCGCATTCAGCCGGTCGCATAGTTTCTCTGAAACTGCTATGTTTATTAAAAAATGGGTTAACCCTAGAAGGACCAGGCACCCAGACCACTTCATTAAGCTGAAGTGGTCTGGGTGCCTAGAGTGGTCCTTTAAATGTGTTCACTATGTCTGTTGTGCTAAGCCATGCCCCCACTCCCGCCGAGAGGATGGCCGTGATGGCATGATCTATGGTTGCATATTGGAGAGAAAATTCCTCCGTGGAATAAGTGAGTTAAGACTTGGGGTAGGTGATGCGTGGGGAGCAGAGAGGTCCAGGATCAACAATTAGAAACCCTTGGTCGATTTCTTTCTGTAGAAGTAGGTCAATTGTGTCGGGAGCTGCTTGGGCCGTCTGCAAGTTCCTACATTCTAAGATCCCAGTAGGCATATGCACAATACCAGTGTGAAACCCCAAAGTGAACCCTGCCACCAGAAATTCTACGAGATATATTGAGATGGCTGACCACACAATAACTCAACAGGGAGACATTAAGAGACAAAAGGTACTGCTTGGGATATAATTTATTTGGACACATTGCCTTAGAGTGAGCCCT